TTAGTGATTTGGGGCTGGAGGTAGGGTGCTTGCCTTGTGGCCGACTCCCATTTTGTCCCTGGCACTCTGTGGTCCTTTGAGCCGTCCCAGAGATCGCTCCTGTGCAGTCGGGAATAGTGCCTGCGCGCCACAGGGCGCGGCTCCGAAGCCCAAGAAAAAATCAAAACAACAAAACTCCGGGGTTTGGTTTGAAGGATGCTAGCAATTTAGCTCATTTTGAAAGCTGACAAATAAGGAAATGAAATGAAGTATGCTCTTACTGCGTGCTTCAGGGTTAGCAAATTTGTTCCTGTTTATAAAAATATTTCACTTAATAGTCAAGAATTACGGACCAGGGAAATGAAAACTAATAAAATGCCTCTAGAGGCATTTGACTGCCTCTAAAGAGATAATAGATAAAGCTTACAATCACCAATGGCTGCTGAGAACATTTATTGTAGAACTGATGAACATCTTGATGGTGAATGTACCGGGATGAAAATACCTGAACCCACAGATCAGACTTGAACCCCACAGAGAGGCAGACTGCGAGCGCCTCCTGTCGGCCAACCGGCTTTAGGTGGTTCTTAGAAGAGCAACTGATGTGGGCTCTGTCCCGCTGGATAGTAGCCGTGTCCAGGAATTACAGAAGACAGAAAAATAGGTTGAACATGAGTTGAACCTCGGGCAGCCAGGAAAGTCGATGGGAAAATTTGTTTTTACAAAGATGTAAGGTGGATATGGGGAAGGAAGAGAGGAGCCTCCCTGATTCCGAGGGAGTGTCTAGTCCAGTGCCTTGAGCAGACCTGTTTGGATTGCGTTCATTAGCTGGAGACAGAAGCAGGCAGCTGGTCAAGGCAAGCATGAGTAAACATTCAACTGTATTGTACTTTATCTTTATTTACCTTGCACTATGTGTTACTATTTTTCAGTTTGGGAGGGTGGGGCGTTGGGCCACACTTGACAGTGCTCAGGGGCTCTTTCTAGCTCTGGGCCCTGGAATGCCACTGGCATTGCTGGGGTTGAGGTACACATGTGGGTACTGGACATTGAACTGGTTTGACAGCATGCAAGGCAAGTGCCTCAGCTGTGGTACTATCTATTCTGCCCGTTTTTTCATTGCGTTTAAAAAAAAAAAAAGCAAATTTTCCTCCTTATACAAAGGAAGCAAACAAATCATTTTGAGGGAGGTGTCCCACCCTGCTGTGCTCAGTGCCTGCTCCTGGGTGATTCTGGGCTCTGTGCTGGGTATTTTTTGGCGGTGATCAGAGGACCTTGTGGTGCTGGGCGTGAACCGTGGCCTTCTGCGTGCAAAGCTTGCTTTGCATATGCTCAGCCCAGTGAGTACTCTGGCATTTCTCCAACCTGAGTTATGTCCTAGAATTTGTTCTGTAGCAGTAAAGATAAGCTATTACTTCATTTTTCAAGTCTAATTTTTTTTTTTTTTAGTGAAATAGTTTTATTTAGAAAAATGTTAGGAGAGAGTATGTTCATGTCACAGGTTGTGATGTGGCAGCTGAGAATGCTCCCGGTCTAAACTTAATCTTACTAAGAACCAAATAAAAATTCTTAAAATACTGTAAGTAAATGCATTCTAACAAAACAGCTGTGTCATTAAAGCATTGTAGACTGGGTGTTTTTTTTTTTTCTTTAATAAAAAACTTCCGGTTGGAGTGATAGCACAGTGGGTAGGGCGTTTGCCTTGCACGCGGCCGACCCAGGTTCGATTCCTCCATCCCTCTCGGAGAGCCTGGCAAGCTGCTGAGGGTCTCCTGCCCGCACTCCCCGTGGCGTATTCGATATGCCAAAGCAGTAACAAGTCTCACAATGGAGACGTTGCTGGTGTCTGCTCGAGCAAATTGATGAACAATGGGAGGACAGTGCAACAGTGCTAATTAAAAACTTAACTAAATAAGACTACTTTTCCTAGTAGTCTATAGACCAAACATGATTGCCACTCAATGCCTCTCTGGCAAAACACAGTACCCAAAAGAAGAGAGAGAGAACAAGGGGGAATGCCCTGCCACAGCGGCAGGGTGGGACGGGGGGGGGGATGGGGGGTGGGAGGGATGCTAGGACCCGTGATGGGGGAGGATGGGCACTGAGGATGGGAGGGATGGGTACTTGATCATTGTATAACTGAAACCCAAGCACAAAAATTTATAAGTCTATAAATGTACCTCATGGTGTTTCACTAATAAAAAAAATGATTAAATAAAAAAAATAATAAAAAAAATAAATAAATAAGACTACTTTTCCTCCAGCCACAAGTGCTTCTACCTGGAGAAAAAGAAAGAAAAGATATCTACATGTATTATTTTTGGTATGGGAGCCACAGCCAGAGTTCTCAGAGGCTGTTTCTAGCTAGTGTTTGGCAGTGCTCTGGGAAGCGTGTCATGAGAGGGAGCAGCCTAGGAGTTCCCAGGTGCAAAAAGTGCACCCTGTACTTGGAGCTCTTTCCCCATCTCCCTACTGAGCTGTCTCTGTGTGTAAGGTGCTGTGATCGATACTCTGCAAAATAGAAACACGTCCTTCGGGATAGTCATAAGAAACCGATATTTTTCCCTGCTCCTGTTTTTAAAGAATTAGCTCAGCTGTGTTCCAAATGTCCCCCCCACTCACTGGTTTTCTCTTCAGTGCTCCCTCCCATGCACCTGAATCTTCTGTTCTGGGTGGGGCTGCCTTCTGCACATCGGCACAGGGGGTTCGGGTGCCACTCCAGGTGGCACTAGTTGGCTGGACAAGCTAAGGCTCCCGCTCAGGTTTCAGAGCTCAGGCCCGGTGGAAAGTATTGCATGGAGTTGCAGCCCGGAGCCTGGAGTTGTAATCCTCTGACCATCTCCCTGGCCCTGGATCATTGATGCTGATAGAGAACGGGGTGGCACTGATGGCTCTCCATACCATTGCAGCTAGCTTGAAATGGTGACGACTTTCTCGTCCCAGTGAATGAAGGCATGGGCGTTCTCAGTACATTGACTGAATTTGTAAAATAGAGTAGGGCATAAGATTTCCCAGTAGGAAGTAAAATTTTATGAAGAGACGCTCTTCTCTGAATGTTTTTCCTTCTGTTTTGGGGTCATGCCTGTTGGTGTTTGAGACATGTTCCTGGCTATGAACTAGGTGATCTCTTCTCGGGGTGCTCACAGAGGCTTCGGAGTGCAAAGGCTCTTGGTGCTTACTTGATTTTTTTCCAAGTGTTTAAAACACGTTTTTTTGTTGTTGCTTTTGGCCCACATCGGTTGTGCTTAGTGTTCATTCCTGGCTCTGCTCTCAGAGATCACTCCTGGGGACCTGGGATCATATGTGATGCCAGGGATCAAACCCAGATTGACCACACAACAAGGCACAGGGCGAGCACCTTACTCACTGTTCACGTACATTATTCTCCTCACGGGTGAACCAGGTCGCATCACAAGGCATCCTTTTTTAAGTCACATTTCATATCACTGTTTTTTAAAAAGATTGTCGGTACTTGGTGGCTACTGCCCAGTTCTCAGGGGACCAGTTAGGTATCAGGTATTGAACCTGGGCTTCCCGTGTGCAAAGCATATGCTTGGTTCCTTGCCGGTCTCTAGCTCACCATTAAAAAACAAACCGAAGAAGTACTGTGTAGCTTAGAGGGTAGAAATTGAGACCAAGATGATCTTGATATCATAGCCTTTATAAGGCAAACTTTTGTCTCATAAAAAGGTATTTCACTAGCTTTCATATTTAAAACAATGCCCACTAAATTTTGACTTTTATCTAAGATTAAAAACAAATTACTCCAGTTTTTTTGTTGTTGTTGTTTTTGTTTTTTTGGGTCACACCTGGCGATGCTCAGGGGTTACTCCTGGCTCTGCACTCAGGAATCACTCCTGTCGGTGCTCGGGGGACCATAGGGGGTGCTGGGAATCGAACCCGGGTCATCCGCATGCAAGGCAAACGCGCTACCCGCTGTGCTGTCGCTCCAGCTCCCAAAAGCTCCAGCCAGCTTTTAAAAAAATTATTTTATTTTTATAAAGTAGTTCACGATATTTGATTAAGTGTCATATTCAAACCCCAATCCCACCACTATTAGACCTTCCCACCACCATATTTCGGTTGTCTTCATCCCGAGCCCCAACCCCCGCCCCAAAGCAGAACTGAAATAATTTAATTTGTATTGTTTATGATTAAACCACTGAAAATGCTCCAAAAAAGTTTCCTTTGACGAAAGTGCGAAGATTGTTGTATTTCACCTAGGGGTCTCGGCTGCATGATACCTGCAGCCAAGATTTATGTCTTTGTCTTCATCTAGAAACGAGGTGTTGACATTTGTCGTGTTTTCTTAGAGTAATACCTCCATCTGGTGGCATTTCTGAAAACTACAGATGAGGACAGGAAGCTTGGGTGCTGAAGTAGGTCCCTCTGCTAGATAGAGCATATGCTTTGCATGCAAGAGACCTGGGCTCCATCTCTGATACTGCATGGTTGCCAGGTTCACCGCCCTCTGCCACCACAACATGGGGGTGACCGCAGAACTTAGAGCTGGAAGGGACCCCTGAGCATGTCGGTGTGACACCCCATATCTTAGTGCCTTTGTTTTTCATACATAATTCAGATTTGTTTGTTTGCTTTGGCCCGTCCTGCCTAGCTGTGCTCTGGAAGTCCATAGATGGTGCCAGGGTTCTAATCAGGGACAGTTATGGATAAGGCAAGTACCCTACCTGCCGAACACTCTCTCTGACTTCAGTAATTCAGATTCAAACACCCTGTAGACTAATGACTGTAGGGGATAGAATCGTTTATTAAATCAACTCTTCAGTTCATAGTGTCGTTAAGCTACTTTGACTGACAAGTGCCTAGCCCAGAATTCTCTTGTAGGTTCTGTCACTCCTTTGGGACAAGATTGTAAGTTTAACAGATTAAAATGAATTCTTTTTAAGTTTGCTTGTCCATATAGGGTTGAAATAGAAAACCAATAGGTTTAAATGATTTGGGATCTGAATGACTTTTGAGAATAAGATTTGTGACGAATTGATTTTCTTTTCAAATCATAGCCAGTCGGATGATGATTCCGGGTCAGCTTCATGCTCTGGTTCTGGGTCGAGTTCTGCAAGTAGCAGTGATGGGAGCAGCAGCCGCTCAGGAAGCAGCGACTCCGACTCCGGGTCGGAGTCAGGCAGCCAATCAGAGTCCGAGTCCGACACATCCCGAGAGAACAAAGTCCAAGCGAAGCCACCAAGAGTTGACGGAGCTGAGGTAAGGACCAACGTGTCTGTCGAGGGTAGATTCCTACATAGCTTGGGGGAATTTCTAACACTGGTTTACAGCCTTTCGGGAGGGTTTGTGTTGAGGCCCCTCGGGCAGTGCTCAGGGATTCTTCCTGGCCCTGCACCCACGAATCACTCCTGGAGGTGATTTGACAGTAGGTGGTGCCAGGAACCTAATATGCCAGGCAAGTGCCCCCTCTCCTGTATTATCACTGTGGCCCCTGCTGGTTTACAGCATTTTAAATTTAGCTCATATGAAAATAAAATTAAAGGTAAAGGCCCTCCCGTTGTTCGTCGATTTGCTCGAGCGGGCCCAGTAACGTCTCCATTGGAGACTTTGTTGTTACTGTGTCTGGCATATCGAATACGTCACAGGGAGCTTGCCAGGCTCTGCCGTGCGGGCGAGATACTCTCGGTAGCTTGCCGGGCTCTCCGAGAGGGGCGGAGGAATCGAACTCGGGTTGGCCATGCTGGCTGCGTGCAAGGCGAACGCCCTCCCGCTGTGCTATAATTATACCTGAAAATTTAATTTTAGTGCTTCTTAAATTTGGCTAAATATATTTGAACTAACTGGATTGGTCGAGAAGCGTTTTCAATTTTAAAATAGCGAGTACAGAATAAACACTCAAAAACTGAATATTTTTCTCTTTTTGAGGAAGAAGTTTTCTGACACTGTGGATAAAAGCGTTTGTAAGATCTTGGATTCTACAGTGTATAATATTTTAGTATTTGCATAGAAGTTTTGTGGTGTTTTTGGTTTTGACTTTGCTAATGTTGAATAGACTAATTTAAAAAAAAGGTCATTCTTATTGCAAAAGTTTCTGTGTACTGTACACCAAGACTAGTCTTTAGCATAATAGTGTATAGAGGTGTACAAGTTTCATTCAGAGTGACGTGATGGCTCGTCTAGGGTGTAAGTCAGCGTACGGTTTCTTCCTCAGAGAAGATTATGCTGCCAGAAAAGCGGAACTAAAACTGCTTAGTGACATAATTGATTTGCAGCCTGTTGTAAGCACTTTATCTTTACCTCATACCAATTTGAAAAATAGCCTTCAAGCAGCACTAATTATATTTTATGACTTGGTTTTAAAAACCTCTTTCTTAGCAATAGGGAAGGTGCTAATGTTGCCTGCTTACGAAACAGCACAGATGACATTTTTATGTCCAACGAAAGCTCGGCATTTAATTGTAGCTCACAGCAATAGCTTTGTACATATGATTTGGTTAAGGAAGTAGGCACCTTTTTTGGAGACAGAAATTTGGTATCCTTTTTAGTAAATACACCCTTTTCACTTATTCCCTACTTTGTTCTTTGGCTTCTCTTTCTATTCTAGTTTTGGAAATCTAACCCCAGTATTCTGGCCGTGCAGAGGTCTGCAATGCTCAAGAAGCAGCAGCAGCAGCAGCAGCAGCAGCAGCAGCAGCAGACTTCGTCCAACAGTGGATCAGAAGAGGTGGGTTTTCGTTAGCTGCTTTTGAACTGCACCTGGTGGCACTTCGCGTCTATTCTCTGCTCAAGGATCTGCCTCTCTTTGTGATGCTTAAGGGACCGTTCGCTTGCAGTGCCAGGAATTGAAATGATTTCTCTCACATGCACAGCAAGTGCCTTGCCTCCTGGACAGTCTCTCCGTCCTCTGTTCGATTTATTTTTCAGGGGTGGCCTGCTGACTGTTCTAGCCAACTGCTTAGTGCTGAGGCCTGAGGACGTGGTGCTGCTCAGGCGCTGAGGTGCTAGGGATTACCTGGGGTACCCGCGCAGTGCCGGGACAGCCCTGGGCCTCCTGGACCTGCCCCCTTTGATGGTTGGGGACCATGTGGTGCCAGGGGGCTGACTGTTCAGCTTTCTTCCGCCTTCCCATTCCCTCTTTTTATTACTTTGAGATTATGGTCTGAGATACCGCAGAGCACCAAGTATTTGCTTTTCATGCATGAGACCCAGATTCCGTCCCAGCTGCCCCTGGTCTCCTGAGCACCCTGGAACTAACCTCTGAGCAAAGAGCCACAGTAGCTCTTCAGAATTGCCAGGTGTGTCCAAAACCTCCCCAAATAAAAATGGATATGCTTGGTCATTAAAGTGTGCAGCAGTTTTTCAGACTAGGTCGGTACTAACAGTTTGTTAATTTGCTTGTATTAACAAGCAGATTCTGCAAAATAAGAAACAAGAAGTGCATCTTAATACATATATCAAGAATCCTGAAATATAGATGTACTTTGATTCAGTAATTTCATTTTCAGGGAGTACTATAAAACAAGTAAGATGAGTATTTGTGCATTTGTTCATCACAGGAGAACTAAAAATAAAATTATGTGCGTATATTAAGGAAATATAAACAAATACATGTAAAGAATTAACATACCTCTAGGTCAGTTGTTCTGAACATTACTAACAGTTGTCGATAGGAGGGTGGGGAGCATCCCCAAGAGATGGTTTCCTTATGGATCGGAGCACGTGTTAGCACTAAGGAAGACGCTTGTGGGAAGCTCAAGTAAGGGAAGGGAAAATACCGAATAAAATTCTGCTTTGCCGACAATTAAGACTTATTTTTAAGGCCATACTGGGCAATAAAGCTTTCCTTGAGAATGCAGATGATATTACACACACTAACAACATTGTGATACTTACCCAGTTCCTTTGCATTGATAGGTTGAAGAATGATATTCTGTGCTAATTAAAGACGTTAGATGACTCTAAATGCGTGAAACGAACTTTAGTTACTGGTAAAGTGAGCATGAGTCCCACAGGCGGAAGTTTGATACCAGGTCTTTAGTGACATTGACTTTGTTTATTTTCTCTAGGATTCTTCTAGCAGTGACGATTCCGATGACTCTTCAAGTGAGGTTAAAAGGAAAAAGCATAAAGAGTATGTCATTTTGTTTAATTGATCACTTCTTCATATCAGGAGTCCTAATGGCATTGTATTTATGGGAGAACCGTTACCCGAAGGGGGCTTTTATACGTTCTTACTTTGTAGCAGTTTGTTAGGCCAATTTGAACCATCAGTCCGCATTTCTCTTTCCGATGCGGCTGCGATTTTTGTGCCGCTGTACTCCTGCATTTTCTCTCCCTTTTCCTATTTTTAATTTCGAAGATCAACTTAGTGTCAGAAAATCTTTAATTTTGGAAACAGAAATGTAAGAATCAGGACTAATTGATCTGGGGTGGTTGTGTTACATTTTGTTAGTACTTTTCTTTATTATTTCCTTTGTTTTTATAAAATTTCCTTCTCTTGTTGCTGGAGAAGGACTGCGGGTGGGGTGCTTGTTTACCTTGCATGCAGCCAACCCAAGTTCAATCCCCGCACCCCTATGGTCCCCCAGCCTCACAGGAGTGATCCCTGAGCATTGTCCCACTTGATACACTGTATCTTAAGCAACTCTAATGTGAAACTTTGTTCTTTTATTTCTGTTGTTGTCATGTACCTATACTTTTCCTTCTTTAAGAACATGTATTACAGATACCTTGGTTCAGGGCTAGCTTTGGGTTCAGTGCTTGGGACCGTATGTGCAGCTGGGGATCACACTGAGGTTGGCTTTGTGCAAGGTGCTTTATGCCACCCCCCCCCCCCCACTGTCAGATTTTTAATCCCTTTGTTGCTAATACTGCATTATGGCTAAGTTTTTAAATGTATGTTCTAATTTATTACGTACTTTTACCTGCTGTTTGTCTCATTAGTTTTAACTCTTCACTAAGCAGTTTCTGGACTCAGCATGGGTAAAGTTAGTTTTTTTAAACAAATAGATTGGAGTTGATAGTCTTCCTTATAAAATATTTAAAATTTATGAATTTATGTATCTTACCTCTTGCTTCTTCTATTATGTATACTCTACAAAGATTTTCTTAGAAAATAAGTATTTGTGGGCCAGGCAGATAGCTCCTAGCTCAGAGGTCTGAGATGAGACATGGATTCTGTGCCTGGCCCTGCAGAGCTTCCTTGCTCTCTAAGCACAGTGCCGGGAGGAGCCCCAGAGGACCGCTGGGTGTGACTTCTCCCAAAAAGAATTTCTTAGGGGCCGGAGTAAGAGTATAGTGGGTACGGCCGACCCAGGTGTTGGCCTTGCCGGTAGCAAACCCAGGTTCAAGCCCCACAGAGACCCCCGAGTCCACTAGGAGTGATCCCCGAGTTTCAGAGCCAGGAGTAAGCCCTGAACAACAACAGTTTAAAAAGAATTTGTTTCTCTAGCATGCTTTTATCATAGTGAGACGGAGCGCCTCGCCTGCAAGGCTTCATAGCAGGATCATGAATGAGAGCGCAGTGGGGCAGGACTCGGTAACTGTGTGATAGGGGATATGTACTAATTCCGTGAATCTCTTTCATTTGAAGTTTACTATATAATAAAATACTAACGCCTGCATTAGGCTATTTTTTTCCCCATGTTGATAGGAATTAAAAAGACTAGCCCCCAAATAGTAAAACTGGTAATACTCGTCATTTTGCAGGGTTTTCAAAATCATTCCATAACTTAAAAAAGGCATGCTACATTTTAATCTATAGTTAAAATTAAAAGAACATTTACTCACTTGCCATTCAGGGAGGTATAATTAAATGATAGCAAAATGCAAGTTGTGGAAGAAATCAGTGTATATTTGTAGTGTTTTTTTTTCAACATTTACGTAATTTTAGGGCTGGAGCGATAGCACAGTGGTAGGGCGTTCGCCTTGCACGCGGCCAACCTGGCCGCCCCGAGTTCGATTCCTCCGCCCCTCTCGGAGAGCCCGGCAAGCTACCGAGAGTATTCGATATGCCAGACACAATAACAACAAAGTCTCCAATGGAGACGTTACTGGGCCCGCTGGAGCAAATCGACGATCAACGGGAGGGCCTTTACCTTTACCTTTTTAGGTAATTTTAGTGTTGGAATAGCAACTTTTGTTTTCTTTTGGAGAGGCCGCGCTTTGCAAGGCACAAGGCTCTGTGCTCGTGGAGAGTGCGAGGGATCAGGTCTGGGCCTTCTGCGTGAAAACCTTTTCCTCAACCTGTTGAGCATTCTCCCCAGCTTAGGTGTTTTCATATTAGCTGCTTGTGCTTCAGTATCAAAGGCAGAGTGTGCAGTGTGATGTAGATAAAGATATTTGGTCTGTTTCTGTACAGTGAAGACTGGCAGATGTCTGGGTCGGGATCTCCATCACCGTCTGGCTCAGATTCTGGAACTGAAGAAGAAGGAGAAAAAAGCAGTTGTGATGAGACAGAGTCTGATTATGAGCCAAAAAACAAAGTTAAAAGCAGAAAACCTCAAAACAGGTAAGTAATTTTCTTATTTTGATGCTTCAAGTGAGTACATAATGTATTCATTCTTTTAATTTGCAGTTTCTCAGATACTGTGTTATGTCAGTCTTTATGTAAGACACACGTTTCCCATGTCCTTTCCAGATCAAAGTCAAAAAATGGAAAGAAGATTCTTGGACAGAAAAAGAGACAGATTGATTCATCTGAGGAGGAGGATGATGATGAAGATTATGATAATGATAAGAGAAGTTCTCGTCGCCAAGCAACAGTCAATGTTAGCTATAAGGAGGACGAAGAAATGAAAACAGACTCTGATGACTTATTGGAAGTGTGTGGAGAGGATGTCCCTCAGCCAGAGGAGGAGGAGTTTGAAACCATAGAACGGTTTATGGATTGTCGGATTGGGAGGAAAGGAGGTATTTAGAAAACGATATTGACTAAAGTAAATCCCATTTCTTGAAGATTGGTAAAATTTTGAAAGCTAAGAAGGTGATTTTCTATTGCCTATAAGAGCAGGCTTTAGGGTCAGGAGCGGTGCAGGCAGGAAGGTGCTTCTGACACAGCCACATCGACTGCAGCCCTGGCTGAAGTCCCCGTCCCGCTTAGGACCGCAGGACCAGGGACTGCCCGTGTGCACTGCTGGTGTGACCTCACCCACACTCCCTCCATTAAGATAAGAAAAGGTCTGTTGTAGAGCCAGGAGGTGAATTAAGTGGAAAGCACGTGCGTAGCATGTACAGGGCTCGAGTTTGCTCCCTGGGACGGTACGCCTTTCCTCCACCCCCCCTACACTTGCTCCCAGGAACATTATGTGGAATCCTGGTGGCATTTGCCCCGAGTGGCCCCATGCCTCACCCCCCAGGACTACGGGCAGTGACCCCCAGCATATTCTTTGCTTAGTCTTAGTATTTTCCTAGAATATTAATGTGCTCTTGACCTCACTTCCCACATTGCAAATAATTAAGGGGGTGTGAGTGGGTGGGATTTTTTTTTTCTTTTCTCTTACCACACCTGGTAGTGCTTAGGACTCCTGCCTTTGTACTCAGGGATCCCTTCTGGCAGGGTTCGGAGACCATATGTGATACCAAGGATAGAACCTGGGTTAGCTGTGTGCAATTCGAGCACCTAGCCTGTTGGGCATTTTCTCCAGCCCCAGAAAAATTTTAATTTATGTATTTTAGACTTTTTGCTTCTGTGCTTATAGCTGTCATTTGGGCACGTTTAAATTCCAGAAGTGCTTTGAATTTTTTAATATGTTTTTTTTTCCTCAAATATGTAGGTCTGTTTGCTTATCTTGAAGTACTAGCTTTTCCCCCTTTGTTTTATTGGGAATGACTTAGAGGATGTGTAACTTTAAGGTGTACATTGTAACGACTTAGTATGTTGTTATGTTTCCTCCAGGAAGTTTAGTTAATATCGTTCATACAACAAAGGTAAACCAATGCTTTTTCCTAGTGATGAGGACTTAGCCTTAACATCTTACAAGTACAGCCATAGCAGTGTAGGCTAGTCATGATACTGGACCAACTCATCCTCTGGGTTTTTTTTTTTTTTGTTTTTTATCCGTAACTGGAAATCTGTCCTGAACAGCTGGATCCACTTCCTCACACTTACCATATCCCTTCACTGGCTGTAGCACTGTCCTCCCATTGTTTGTCGATTTGTTCGAGTGGGCATCAGTAACGTCTCCATTGTGAGACTTGCTGTTTACTGTTTTTGGCATCTCGAATACGCCACAGGGAGCTTGCCAGGCTCTGCCATGCGGGCGGGATACTCTCGGTAGCTTGCTGGGCTCTTCGAGAGGGGCGGAGGAATCGATCCTGGGTCGGCTGCGTGCAAGCCTACCTGCTGTGCTTCCTCTCCAGCCCTACCATATCCCTATAGCTAGAAAATGACATTTATTTCTACATAATTGGTGATGTTTGTGTAATTCCCTTGGAATATTGCCCTCAGATGTCTTATCGCGTCATCACACGTGATAGGATATCTTCTTGGGTGTTGGCGGGAGTAGGGGGCCGGGCGCAGAAGGTGGACAAAGACTCAGAGAATGGAGTGCTTGCTGCCTGCGAGTTTGTGTGTGTGTTTATGTCTGAGTGTCTCTTTGCTGATCAGTGGTTCCTTATTTTTAAAAGTAATAATGCTGCATTGAATGTGAAAGTTGTCAACATGGATTGCTTCATTGAACATGGACCGTGTTCTCTGCATTGAACATTGAACTTGCATTGAACTCAGTGCAAGTGTACTTTTTTAGACATAATGATTGTGGCCATGATGCTGTGAAGATATTGATAAAAATCATCAGTCCTAATCATCAGCTATTGTCAAGTGCTGTATGATGGCAGTTTTAGGATATAGATAAATTACTCAGTTTTAAAATAGAGGGAATGAAAGCTGAAAATGTTACTGTTCGGAAATTCCCTTTTAAACATACATAATAAAATTTTCCGTACCTTCTCCTGCCTTGGTACGTAACAGATTATGTGTTATTCTATTTTTATGTGAGTTTTTTAGCTTAAGGGAGATAAATAGCCTTTCTTGTGCTTTGTTTTTCAGCTACTGGTGCTACTACAACCATCTATGCAGTTGAAGCAGATGGTGACCCGAATGCAGGATTCGAAAAAAATAAAGAACAAGGAGAGATCCAGTATCTAATTAAGTGGAAAGGATGGTCTCATATTCATAATACTTGGGAGACAGAAGAAACCCTTAAGCAGCAGAATGTCAGGGGCATGAAAAAATTGGATAATTATAAGAAAAAAGACCAGGAAACTAAAAGATGGTATGCGTTTTACATCAGAATGGGGGGGGAGGGGCGGGGTGTGAAGTGATCTCCGCTGTGGGGACCATATGAGGTTCCAGGAATCAAACCCAGATCAGCATCCTGCATGCTATTCTATCTCTCTGGCCCCTATACTTTATTTATTTATTTAATTAATTAATTAATTTATTTATTTTTGCTTTTTGGGTCACACCCGGCGATGCACAGGGGTTACTCCTGGTTCTGCACTCAGGAATTACCCCTGACGGTGCTCAGAGAACCTTATGGGATGCTGGGAATCGAATCCGGGTTGGCCGCGTGCAAGGCAAATGCCCTACCCGCTGTGCTATTGCTCCAGCCCCTGGCCCCTATACTTTAAAAAAAAAAAAAGTTTTAAGATTACTGCTAAGTTTTTTTGTTGATGAGAAATACATAGACAATAATACAGTGATAACCTAAAGCAGATTTTGTTGTGTATCAACTTAAAGGAAAACTTAGAAGTACTCATATCTAAATCCATTCTTATTAGGCATATAAATTTTTTTCCCTAAGATATATTTACTTACGGTGCCAGTGATCAAACCCAGGGCCTTAGACCTATAAAGCATGCACTCGACTGCTAAGCCGCATCTCTGGCTCAAGTTATACTTAAAATTAAAAATTAATGGTGCTTTATTCCTTGGAGGGTTTGGGCAATACCAGGCAGTGTTAAGGGGTTATTCCAAACTCTGTGCTCAGAAATTACTCCTTGTATGCTCAGGGGTCCATTTAGGATGCCAGGGATTGCGCCCAGGTTGACCAAGTGCAAGGCAAGCGCCCTACTGGCTGTACTATTTCTCCAGACACTAAGATGCTTCATTGCCATTTCGGTTCTTTATTCAAAGTCAACTCACATGGTGAAAGTGGCAAAATTTGCAAGTTCTGTGCCACAGTTTGTGTTTGGGAAGGAAGGGTTCTACTTAGCAGTTTTGAAGTCTGTTCCTGGATTAATAATCCTTCAGACTGAAAATGCTTCCCCAAAAGATGAGAAAAATTATAATTGCAAAGGATTTGCAGATAATCTGAATGAGCAGTTTCAAATATTGGAGTGAAGAATTGTTTAGTAATAGTGATTCTAGCTTAACTTCTAATTTTTCTTTCAGGTTGAAAAATGCTTCTCCAGAAGATGTGGAGTATTATAATTGCCAGCAGGAACTTACAGATGATCTGCATAAGCAATATCAAATAGTGGAGCGGATAATTGGTTAGTAATGATTCTTGTTACACTTTAAATCATTTGAAATGATCTGAAAAAAAAATCTTAGTTATATTGCTTACATATAAGTACAATAGAATGCCTTGACTATTATAAAGTCAGGAGTACTGTAAACTAAATGACAGCTTTCTATTTGTATGGCTTATAATAAGAATTATGCCTCAGGTAAGACCGAGTGCAGAATTTTCATGACCCGATTTGTCCCACAGCTCATTCCAATCAGAAATCAGCTGCTGGTTATCCTGATTATTACTGCAAATGGCAGGGTCTTCCATATTCCGAGTGCAGCTGGGAGGATGGAGCTCTCATTTCCAAAAAGTTTCAGCCATGCATTGATGAGTATTTTAGCAGGAATCAGTCAAAAACCACTCCTTTCAAAGATTGCAAAGTGAGTATTGTTAAACATTTTTAATTTTTGAAATATATATTTGAGCATTATAAATGTTATCTATGGACTGAAGTAGAGTTTTGGATCCTGGTTTCAGATAGGCTAAGGGAGAGAACTACTTGGTTGGTAGATCTTACAGGAAATTGTTTCTATAATTGCTGTGTGATCTTAGATGTGGGACCATTCTTGAGCCTTGTAAGTGAAAGAATCAAGAAGGTAATTTTGTAAAAGTTGTAAGGAGGAGGCTAGTGTTGGCAAATGAGGAAAATTTCCTGGAAAGTAAATGTACGTTCCTGGTTCAGATGGTAGTGTGCATTTGCATTGAAGATAGGAGAGGATAAAGAGGTACAGCTATGGAGGAGTGGACAGAACTAAGTTAGAGGAGTGGACAGGGTCCCCTTTCTAATAAGATCTCTTTGTACTTACAGTCATGATGATTTGGGAGCCTGTGTACTAACAGGATTTCTTATGCAGTGTTGAATTAAAGTCATAATGGTAATTTGGAAATCAGAAATCACATGGGAAGAATTTTATGGTTTATTTTGAGGCCAGGGCTAGAGCAGTGGTTAGATGAATAAAATTTACAGTTTGTTTCAAATTTCCCCTTTCATGGTGGTGGGCCATACTTGGACAGTGTTCAAGGTTTACTCCTCACTCTGCTTAGGGACCATTCCTGGTGACCTTATTCTCAGGGGACCTTATGTAGTGCTGGAGATCTCACTGGGTCAGCACATGTAAGACAACTGCCTTAGCTCTCTGGCCCCGAAGTGGATAAATTTAACACAGCTTTTTTTCTGGACACTGAACGAAGACACATGTGTTTCAATAAGATTTTATTTTTTTTGTCATGTTTTGGTGAAAAAGGGGCAAAGTATTCTGGTGTATGATTTTTTTTTTCTTTTTGGGTCACACTCAGATGCACAGGGGTTACTACTGGCTTTGCACTCAGGAATTATTCTTGGCGGTGCTCAGGGGACCATATGGATGCTGGGAATTGAACCCAGGTCGGCTGCATTCAAGGCAAATGCCCTACCCGCTATGCTATCATTCCAGCTCCAATATTTTTATGATAATAGCAAACAGTATTTGAGTCCTCATATTTCAATCAGGAAATTTCTGGGTTTGATGAATTGAAATGGAGATTTTAAATTTATGGTAAAAGTTGTCACTTTTTAATGTAACTTTTACACTTAATAATTGTTTATATTGACCTTTTACTTAAAGGTATTAAAACAAAGGCCAAGATTTGTAGCCCTGAAGAAGCAGCCATCTTATATTGGAGGACATGAGGGTTTAGAATTAAGAGATTATCAGCTAAATGGTTTAAATTGGCTTGCTCACTCTTGGTGCAAGTAAGTATATTTTGAATTATCTGACAGGGCAAACTTACAAATAAAGAATTTGGGAACGATGTTCACCAAGATGAAGGAGATAAGGCTTTGCTGTTGCTATGCAGGTCTCTGAACTTGTGCGTGTGTGTGTATAGACACATATCTATACACACACACTCACACACTTTCCTTATTATATATAAGAAAATGTCCAGCGAAGTTTGTGTTTAGCCTGTTTGCATTACTTAAAGTTATTGAGCTTAAAAGATCAAATTTTATATAGACCCCTATTCCTCATTCATCCTGAACTGTTTCACTTCTACTCTTTTTTATAATTTGGTTTATGCCCCTACTCTTCCTGGTCTCATAATTTTTAGCAAGCTAAGTAACTTTAGGGCTTAAAAAAAAAAAACTTGACCATTGCCATGGCATTTCCTGCTGTCTTATTTTTCTAATGACATTTTACTTAATGTGCAGTCTTCCATGACTCAGTGAATTGTGTTTTCAGTTAAAAAGGGATTAAAAACATTGTCAGTTTGTAAGCCTCTTCCTGTTAAGATGGCCAACTCCCCCTTGTTGATTGAGGAGGATGTTCCTATGCAGTGCTCACTGGGCCCGCAGGCAACTCCTGGAGGTTTGGCTCAGTGCTCAGACCCAGAGATTCTGGGTGCTCATGCACCCCTGCCTCCAGCCTCCCAACCTTAGGTAAAGGTAAAGGCCCTCCCGTTGATCGTCGATTTCCTCGAGCGGGCCCAGTAACGTCTCCATTGGAGACTTTGTTGTTACTGTGTCTGGCATATCGCATACTCTCGGTAGCTTGCCGGGCTCTCCGAGAGGGGCGGAGGAATCGAACTCGGGTCGGCCATGTTGGCCGCTTGTAAGGCGAACGCCCTACCCACTGTGCTATCGCTCCCAACCTTATGAACAAACTTTCTCCTCACACCGTCCCTGTACAAGGATAGTGGCATTCATTCTTTGTACTTAATAAACTATTTTACTTGGGTTCATATAAACTTGAGTTCATAAACTGAGTTATATGAGAAAGATTATTTGTAATTTGAATATCATTAGTTTTAATATTACTAGCATGCAATATTCTGTCAATTTTAGGTGTACAACAATGATTTGACATCATTATATACTGCAGAATGATCTTATTTTTTGCAGTTTTTTCATCTATTATCTATTTTAAAAATAGCCTATTTTTTGCAGTTTTTCTAATTCGTAGTACTATACACTGCCTGTAAACATCTGTGCTATGCGCTATGTACCTGTGCCTTACTTTATAACTTCAAATTAGAAATTTGTACTTCTTGACCACCTTTGCTCATTTTAGCTCTCCTTCTTCACCCCTTTATACCACTCCCTCCGTCCAGTAGCCACCAATCTGCTGTGCATATGCAGCACTAGCTTACTGCAGTATTTGTCTTCCTGTCTGACATGTTTCAAAATTGATCAGATTTCATTTCTTTCTGGCCAACACCTGCAATGCTCTGGTGCTACTCCCTCCTAAAGCCTTGCTTGTAGGTCGCTCCTGACCACGCCAGAAATTGAACCTGGGATCAGACTGGGCCTCCAGGATGCAGAGCATGCACTTGAGCCTGTTGAGCTAGCTTTAGCCCCTTATTCTTTTTGTTCTTTTTTAACTGGCTTAATAGTATTCCGTGTGTGTGTGTGTGTGTGTGAGAGAGAGAGAGAGAGAGAGACAGAGAGAGAGAGAGAGAGAGAGAGAGTCTAGAATGAGTCTATACATACGTGCGTATATGTGTGCACCTTTGTTTGTTATACTGTTGTTTTCATATTTTGGACATTGTGAATCTGCAGTGACCAGGAGGTGTATTCATCATTTTGAACTAACGTTCTTGTTTTTAACATTGTAGAGGAAATAGTTGCATACTTGCTGATGAAATGGGCCTTGGAAAAACTATCCAGACGATCTCGTTTCTGAACTATTTGTTTCATGAGCATCAGTTATACGGACCTTTTCTGTTAGTAGTTCCGCTCTCCACTCTCACTTCCTGGCAAAGGGAAATTCAAACCTGGGCCTCTCAGATGAATGCTGTTGTTTACTTAGGTGATATTAACAGCAGAAATATGGTAAGTCTTTTTGTCACAAATTCAGAAACTCATTATATTTGTGCACGAGTATTTTGTTTTTATAGTTTTTTTTTGTTTGTTTCTACTATAGATCTTACCACACCGTAAGTGCTCATACATTTTCCTGAGATCAAACGAGATTGGGCGCGTTCGCGGTGGTGTGGCCATAGACAAGTGCTCATACATTTTAACACTGCAATAAAAATATTAATTCTGTACTAGATGCATATTCTGCCCTTGGGGAAAATTTCAGCCATGCATGAATAGTAGAATAGACCTTCATATACTATTTACAGTATCACAGTTTTTTAAATCACTTTGTAGTTTTCTTCCTTTTTCCCTTTATGATTGTTTTTAAGATGATCGGGGGTGCACATGTGCCTGGGTGGGGGTACTTGAGCATTTTCCACCTGTGGAACACTCTGTCTTGTTCTGGGGCCCTCAGACTTGGTGGCAGTGCTCATGGATGTTTGTCTCCCTTTAACTCTCCTATTCAGGAGTCAAACTTCCTGTCTGTGGTCCTGGCATTTTTTTTTTTTTTGAGGGTTTGTGGACTTGCTAGCGCTTGTTCCCTCTTTTATGTGTGGAACTGAAAAATGTACTTCCAGAACTGAAGAGAGAGTACATTGGGGTTAAGGCACTTGTTTTTCCCACAGCCAACCTTGATTCAGTCCCTGGATCCACATACGGTCACCACCAGGTGCGACCCCTGAACATCACTCTTGGAACCCCCCCCCCCCCCCCAATAGGAATTGTCACGGTAGCACTGAGAATTACAGACAACTTCCAGAATCATGCTTACTTCCTGCAGAACACGGGTTTTAATTCATGACCATATGTTGCAATGCAGCCGTCTAAGCCACTAGGCTATTCCTTTGCAGTTGGTGGTGGTGGAGGTCGGGTTGTGCTTTGAACTGCACTAGGCAGTGCAGTGGCTCTTCTTGGCTCTGCTCAGGAATATTCCCAGTGGTCCTCAGTGGGTTATATGTGATGCTGGGGATCAAAGCAGGGTCAGCTGCTTGCAAGACAAGTGCCCTGCAGTTTCACTATCTCTCCAGTGTCCCAATATAAAGTTGAACTCATTGTCAGTTTCGTTTAATTTTTGTCTCTGCATATTTTATTCTCCCAACCAGGAAGCAAACTCAAGATTCCATTTTATTCAAGAATGCTATTAAAAGAATTACTTTTGTTAAAGAACATTCTTTAGTGGTTTGTTTATTACAGTCCTATCTGCTTTGATTTATAGCATCATCATAGTATCTTGCACTTTGTGTATGATTAAAACAATTTTTACAAAACATGTAGTTTGGATTTTATCTTAAATATCCAAATAAAAATTGCTTTTTTTAATTTTGGTTTTGAATTGTCTTTAAAATTTCTTGATAGATAAGAACACATGAGTGGATGCATCCCCAGACCAAAAGGTTAAAATTCAATATATTGTTAACAACTTACGAAATTTTGTTGAAGGATAAGGTGTGTATTACTTATATTTTTCTGTTCAGTGTATTTTAGGGGTTGTTTGTTTGTTTGTTTGTTTGTTTTACCACAAATTGTGGATGGCGTGAGAAGAAAAAGAGTCAGGAAGCTGCAGCCTGTGGGTCAAATCTAGTTTTTTTTAAATGACCATTGAGCCAAGGAGCTCTTACATTTCTAAAGAATTGTAAGACAAAGTGCATGTGAAAGAAGCCAGTGAATATTTGCAAAGCCTAAAGTGTTTACATCTGGCACTTTGTAGGAAAAAGTGCTAGCTTCTGATTTATGTGAAACCAGCTAACAATGGTGTCTGCTGATTTATGAGGTTTTTAATAGAGAAGGAAGATACCTACCCATAGTTCCAATAGTTGTTATACTGTGCTAGATGTTTTATAGCTAACTATTGTCTTATATTATTATTTTTTTTATAGCTAGTGGTGTATGTAGTAAGTTGCCTACCTTTTAATGCTATCTAGACTGAAGAAAAAAGTCATCTCAAATACATGAATGATCTTTTCTGATAAGGCCAGTGTCTGCTTTAAATTGAAGAGTAAAGATTTATGTTTTAGATCTATAGTTTACAAAAATTGTCACTGCCACTGTCACTGTCCTCCCATTGTTCGATTTGCTCGAACAGGCCCAGTAACATTGTGAGACTTGTTACTGTGTTTGGCATATTGAATATGTCACGGGTAGCTTGCCAGGCTTTGCCGTGAGGGCGAGATACTCTGGGTAGCTTGCTGGGCTCTCTGAGAGGGGCGGAGGAATCAAACTCAGGTCGACCATGTTGGCTGCGTGCAAGGCAAACGCCCTACTCACTGTGCTATCGCTCCAGTCCTTAAGAAAATTATTCAATGTATCTTATCTGCATTGGGTGTGACAGTCTAAATTTGTATTATATATTCTCCATTTGATATCAATAAAGGCTTCATTGGCTTTAGAGCAGGAATATTGTGTAAAAAATTTTGAAGGTTACTTGTTCCTTTTAATATGTAAGCTAGTGAAAACTTCCTTGATATTTTGCTGTTAGTTATGGCTAATTAGTGACAGAAGATTTTTTTTCTTGCATGTTGAGTTACTTTGAGGATTCCAATCAATGTTAAAACTATACAAGCTTCTTTTTAATTTTAATTTTCCCCATTCGATAAATTTTGTGTGTGTCCTCAGTATTAACTATGCTCTGTTTTATTAAGGCATTCCTTGGTGGTCTCAACTGGGCATTTATAGGTGTTGATGAAGCACACCGGTTAAAGAATGATGACTCTCTTCTGTATAAAACCTTAATAGACTTCAAGTCCAATCACCGCCTCCTCATCACTGGAACGCCTCTACAGAACTCCCTGAAAGAGCTCTGGTCTTTGCTCCATTTCATCATGCCAGAAAAGTAAGATATGCGGCCTTGACTGTTCTGAGCTTAGTGTCCAGGCTGTTTAGCAGGGGGGTAACCAGTGTCGGTAAGTTTGGTACGGGGATTTATCGCCTGGAAACTATTAAATGCGGGGGAAAATCCCAAGGTAGATAATTTCAGCTTGTAAAAACACTTCTTACAGTTTGTAAGTATGTGGAATGAGTTACAATAAAAATCCAGATTTCTGCATAAGGGAAACTAGATTAGACAGAAAGAACATTTTCAAGGCACTGACATACATATGTTTAGTTGATTCAGTACTTTACTTATTTTTTTCCTTTTTTGGGTCACACCCAGCAATGCTCGGGGGTTACTCCTGGCTTTTCACTCAGATTACTCCTGGTAGTGCTCAGGGGACTATATGGGATGCTGGGGATCGAACCCAGGTTGGCCGCATGCAAGGCAAACGCCCTACCCGCTGTGCTATCGCTCCGGCCCCTGATTCAGTACTTTAAGTTGATATTTTAGGATAATTTCTCCCAGACTTAAAAATACTTTGTTATTTAGTTAACACAAGAAGAACCATAAATTTTTACATAATTCATATTTCACTGCCATCCACTTTCTCAGAACTGGTTTTTAGAAGTGATTCATTTTAGCTAGTCTTTTTCTAACACAATTTGTGTCTTATATGTGAATACTGTGGTAAAACTTATGTATGGTTTGACTTCTTTTCAGTAGTGATTATACCATTATCTTTATTTATTTATTTATTTTTAAGGTTTTCTTCCTGGGAAGATTTCGAGGAAGAACATGGCAAAGGCAGAGAATATGGCTATGCAAGCCTCCACAAGGAGCTTGAGCCTTTTCTGTTACGGAGAGTTAAGAAAGATGTGGAAAAATCTCTACCAGCCAAGGTGGAACAGATTTTAAGAATGGAAATGAGTGCTTTACAGAAACAATATTACAAGTAAGCTGTCAACAAAGCTGCCTGTCCATGCTTTGAAGTTTGTTCCGTGTCCCTTTCCTTTCGTCAGCTTGTCTCCCTCTCAAAGTCATCTTTGTGCAATAAAATTCTTAAGTTTTAGAACTCATGGCGTTGTGAACAAGAAGATTTAATTGCATGTCTAAGATTCTGGATGGCTATGTAGACAAAATCCGGTTAAGCACATTACTAATATTACAAGGATTTTTGTAGTATCTTGTGATAACAAGGAATTATTTAATTATGATAATAGAGTAAGTAAGTAAAGTACAGGCCCTCCCGTTGATCGTCGATTTGCTCGAGCGGGCCCAGTAACGTCTCCATTGGAGACTTTGTTGTTACTGTGTCTGGCATTCGAATATGTCACGGGCAGCTTGCCAGGCTCTGCCGTGCGGGCGAGATACTCTGATAATAGAAATAGAAGAAAATAAACTTACCCAAAATATTGGACCTGTCTGCTTTTTGAAGCTCAATTATGCTTTGTATAAGTTATATCAATGTGTATAGTCACTTGTCAAGAATCAAAAAGGACTGCCCTACTCTCTGTTCAAGAATATAATCGCACAAAATGAACTGCTGTAGAAACTCAAACTGCACTTCAGTTCTCAAGTATCTTATGGTAAAATTTGTAAGTGCTCTACATTCAAAGAAAATACAGTTAGGACCCAGGATCTACCCTAGTGGTAGCACTGTAGCACTGTGCTCCCGTTGTTCATCGATTAGCTTGAGCGGGCCCAGTAGGGCTGGAGCGATAGCACAGCAGTGTGATGTTTGCCTTGCGTGTGGCTGGTCTGGCCGAGCCAGATTCGATTCCTCCGCCCCTCTCGGAGAGCCCGGCAAGCTACTGAGACGGCGAAGCCTGGCAAGCTCCCTGTGACGTATTCAGTATGCCAAATACAGTAACAGTACTCTGGTGGTAGATTTTCATAATCCCGTGTGAGGACAGAAAGTCAATCCTCAGTGCCAACAAAAACACATTTACTGTTTGAATTATAGGGTCTTGTTAAAGAAACTTCAAACATGAAAAAGAGGATGGGGCTGAGCAGAGTACACAGGGGGTGGCCCTTGCTGGCTTGATCCCCACCCAGCTCAGGGCATCGTGCTCCCTGTGCCTGAACAGGAGTGATCCCTGAGCACAACTGGGTGGTCCAAAGCTGCCTCTTCCTCACCACCCCCCTTCTCCACAAAGAGCGTAGTTGAAAGTCCATCTCTCAGCTCCGTTTTCAGCTCATTTCTAGTGGATTCAGCCTCTTAGCTTGGTCCCACTTCCTCCATTCTTATTTTTTTGGAAATAAGAGATGTTTTTGCCTCACTAAGTCCCTTCAAAGACTGACCTCGTCGTGAAGAAAGAAAACTCAAAATGGTAAAAGACAAAGTAGATCATGGTGAGAGTACATGCTGTGGATAGTTTGGGGTAACAGAATAAGCACCCATACGTTTTCTTAGTTACTCCTGTATTGTAGGATGGTTAATTTTTGTTTTCTTTGGGGTTTGGGTTTTGGGGTCTGTTTTTCTTCTTTTGGGGTTTTTTGGTTTCTATTTATTTTTTATTTTGGAGCCAGACCCAGTAGCCAGGGATCACCCGTGGCTCTGCTCTTAGCAATTACTCCTGGTGGCCACAGGGAACCTTTTAGGATGCCGGGATCGAACCCTGGATGGCCACGTGCAAGGCAGACGCCTCCTTGCCGCACTCCTCCAGTTCTGGTAGGCTTCTTGTTTAGAGAGACACCTAACCAGGCACTGAGATGTCCGATGGGAAATCTGCAGGAAATTAAGATGCAGATTACAGGAGACTTTTAAAAGTGAATTTAGGTGGGAGGGTTAGCCCATAAGACTTGCACTGACTCTGTTAATGGTCCAGACTATAGGTCTTGTGCGCAGGGTTGGTCTGATGTTTGGCAAGTCATAAACTTCGTAGGTCCAGTTTTTACTTTTTCTTTTTTCCTTTCCTTATTTCTTTATGGTTTGAGACTCCGTCCTGGCTGGTAATTCTAGTACTAAACAAACAACTTCTTCATGATTCTTTCTTAACAGATGGATCTTAACTAGGAATTACAAAGCCCTCAGCAAAGGCTCCAAGGGCAGTACCTCAGGCTTTTTGAACATTATGATGGAGCTGAAGAAATGTTGTAACCATTGCTACCTCATTAAACCGCCAGATAATAATGAGTTCTATAACAAACAGGAGGCCTTACAAGTAAGAATTCTAGAAATGTTTATTTCACATTCAGATGAAAATGGTATGATGTGTTAACATGTTACTTAGAAGTTCCCTTTGCCTAATGACCTATTGAAACAAAGGGCTTTATTTTTTTTTTTAATAAGTTTTATTGGATCACTGTGAGATACAGTTACAAACTTGCACGATTATATTTCAGTCCTGCAATGCCCGAGCACCCATCCCTGCACCAGTGTGCGTTTTCCACCACCATTGTTCCCAGGGTCCTTCCCGCCACCCCCACCCCACTCCGTCCCACTCCTTGTCTTTGTGGCAGGCACAATCCTTCTTAGCCTCTCCCTCTAATTTTGGGTGTTGCGATTTGCAGTACAGATACTAAGAGGCCATCCTGTTTGGTCCTTGCTCTATCTACTTCAGCACAGTCTCCTATCGTGGGCGACCCCCCAATCATCATTTCCTTAGTGGTTCCTTCTCCATCCCAGCTGCCTTTTCCCCCAGCATGTGCGGCTGGATTCCGAACCGGGGTGTGCTCTTCCTGGCCCTTCTCTCTGCTGTCCTTAGGTGTTAGTCTCATGTTAAAAACAAGGGGCTAATTTAATTTTGTTTTGTTGGGGATCAAACAGCAGGCTTCGGATGCAAACCATAGACAAATTCTTGCACTGAGCTACATCCTCCGCCCTTAGGAAGGTTTTTTAAACTGTAATTTGTCGATTTTTTTTTTTTTTTTTAAGAGATGACTCTCTACTCACGAGCTATTCTACTTTTGGGATCAACACCTCGTGGTGCCCAGAGTACTAGGTGTCCTAGCTCAGTACTCTCCTCTGACTTGCCTCACGGTGCCAGAACTACACGGTGTCAGGGATTAAACTTGGGCCTCTCTAATGCTCCTCAAGCGCTGTGAGCTTTCTCCTCAGCTCTTTTAGTGCATTCATAATCGAGGTCGGGGAGGAAATCCTAATGGTGATGATTTTGCTGCTTTCTCTATATTTTTCAGCTAGATTTTTTTTCTGAGAAACAGCATAACATACAGACAGGGAGGGAAGATTTTAACTCCGCCTGTGTCAGAAAAATTTGCAAACTGAAATAAGCCATTTTCCGACAGTGTTAACTCTTAGAGTCGTGAAAGATAGGAAAGTGTTAAGTGGTGCATTTGTTTCATTTTTTTGGTTCTTTAACATTATAAAAGTTGTAATTTATTTCCTTAAGCACCTAATCCGTAGTAGTGGAAAATTGATACTTCTTGACAAGCTGTTAATTCGCCTAAGAGAACGCGGCAATAGAGTTCTTATTTTTTCTCAAATGGTGCGGATGTTAGACATTCTTGCAGAATATTTGAAGTATCGCCAGTTCCCCTTTCAGGTAAGTATTTTGTCTTGCCTCTTTTGTTGATTTCGATTTGTTTGATCCCTAACCGTATTCTGTGAAATTTACCTTAGGAGTTTTTCTGTGCATAAACATTTTTAATGTACATTTATACTTTTAGGGAAATACGTCTTAAATTTTTGTTTGCTTGTCTTTTTAGTGACACGTTTAGCAGTAAGGGACTTCTCTAATTTTGTTGCTTTTTTAGTTTTTTATTTCTCTTCTATGTGTAAAGCTTAAGGGGCGGACTGCAAAGTGTGTAGAGACTTTGGTTTGAGGAGTCAAAGGGAAAGAGCAGTCTCGTGAATGTTTCAGGGACCGTGGGTTCTCAGAACCCAAGTGCTCGTAATACCCTAATGCATGGTTTGCTGAATAGAACGAGGCACTCTGGACGATACCAAAATGGTTCTTATGGTCCATCTGTTCGATATTTCTTTCAAAATTCATTCTTGAGGGTTAAATTTAATACTGATGAGTGTTTTAATGTTGGAGTCAGGTGCTACTCTCAGTGCTTTACCTCCAATTCCATTTAACTCTTAAAGCAATTTTGTGAGTAGTGCCTGGAACATAAATGCACTCACAATGCAGCATATAGGAGTGGAGTGATACAGTGCAGCTTCTTGTTTCTCTGCCGTGTTGGAACTTAGAACCTGGTGACTTGGTGCTGCTCATAGACATTAAGCGCTAATTTAAAAATAGAGCACTATTATTCTGGCAAGTGTTGTGCAGGCAGACAGCAAAGTCACCTGGCCATGTGAGGGAAACAGGAAGCAGTGTTCTGTGGTTTAGGTTTCCGCACCACACCTGGTGTTGCTCGTGGGCGCTTCCTGTCGAGGACTCCCTCCTGACCTGCTCTGGGCTCCTGTGGTATTCGACAGAAGACTCAGACTGGGCCTGCTGCCTGGCTCGCATTCACTCCAGCCTCTGCTTGCTGAGGATAGTGTTTCATTTTCTTGGGAGAAAATTGAGTTGTACTTTTTACTCATCACCCTTTATCTCTCACTCAGCTTTGCACCCTGCCCTAGCTTTATGTTCATTCGCCAAAAAAAAAAAAAAAATTCAAAAACCAGTGCAGAAGTGCTTGTAAACCCCAGTTATCTTCCCAACCCCCCCTTCTCCTACATCACTTCCTAGGGAGAACCATTTTAAATATTTTTGGTTTTGTTCTGCCACAGTAATTGGCAATGCCAGTCTTTTAAAAAGTTTTGCTACTTTTCACTAAGAATAACCATTTTATTTTTGTGTCGTTTTGCTATTGGGCATTGTGGTGTGGTGTTCCTAATCCATAGTAAGTATACTTGCTGCATGCCATATGCTGTGCTGCTCACTCAGTTCTCGTAATGAATCCTCTTTGTTCTGGGAAGGGAATCCCATGATTCCCATTTACTGAGGAGAAAACTTACATGTCTGCAGCATTCAGAGGTCGTCAGGATTCTCAGTTATGTGCTGTTTCATAGAATCCATGGTATTGCAGATCAGTGATTCTCAAATTAGTTTAATTCGTTTATACTGGTTTCTGATCAGGACGTATTCCTGACTCTGAGGTCAGGACTCACTCCTGGCGATACTCGGGGACTATATATGCTGGTGGGGATTGAACTGGACTTGGCCACATGAAAGGCAGGGCACGGCGAAGACCACCCCCCCGCCCCACCACACACACACACACACACACACACACACACACACACACAGCACCGCAAGCCTGTACTCTCTCCAGCCTCTGTTGGGCTTCTTTTCCTCTTTTCCATCTTTTAGCCACTGCCACCAACACCCAACCATTTGAGTTTTTGATTCATCACACCTTGGATGGGACTCAGTATTTTGCATTTTTACATTCTCAGGTGACTAGAATACTGTTGCTTCAGTAACCATACTGGACTTAATCACTCTATTTTAATGCATCGGGAGGTTAGTTGAATGAGTGTTGCAGTGCTTACAGAGGAAGCCTGATTGGGGCCTACAGGGCAGTACAGAGGTGAGGCGCTTGCCTGTCCTGGGGCTGATCCATATTTGGCTGCCCAGGGTTAGGGTCCCTGCTCTCCACAGCCTGCTCCGCTAGGAGTGGGCCCTAGAACAGAGCCAGGGTAAGTCCTGTGCATCACCAGGTGTGGCCCCAAAACTCAGACGGAAAAAAATGATAAACTTTGAGAGTAAGTCAGAGAACGTGCTTTGGGTGTGCAGCGATGTGCTCGTTGTCATGTAAAATGTATTTCTTAGACATGGTCTTGGGAGTAGATTTTAGCCAATGTTTTTAGGCATTTAAGGGAAGCAGTTCTACCATTTAGTAGTACCGACTTCTAGTGCATTATTTTACTTCCAGTAAGAATTGTATGTGATATCCTAGTCATAGCAAAAAGAGTATTTATTCATGAATGACTTCATAATTTTGTAATTAACCTTTTAACTGTTTCATTCTATTATCTGTTGCATTTTCAGAGATTAGATGGATCAATTAAAGGGGAGCTGAGGAAGCAAGCTCTCGATCATTTTAATGCTGAAGGATCAGAGGTACAAATGCTTTGAAAATTGTAAATTTTTAGTCATCACTAATCATATTTGGTTTGATTAAAAAAAGAGAAAATCATTGCCAGTTTGGATTTATGCGATTTTTTTTTTAAATGGCTTTTTTGGTGGTTGGGGGCACACGTCGCCTTGCTCCGGGTTTTCTCCTCGCTCCGTATTCAGGAATCACTCTTGGCAGTGTGTGGGGAACCATATGGGATGCCAAGTGTTGGCCATCTGCAGGGCTAACGCCCCGCCCTCTACATTACCTCTCCCACCCCAATTTGTGAGAATTTTAAGTCACCGTCATATGTTAAATTTAAAATTTTTATTCTTACCAGTACTATTTTAGCATAAGGTCATCATTATGCTTCAAAACAAGCCTGTTTTCAATTAGGATTTGGTACATTATTTCCACATGTAATTTTTGTTGGTTTGTGTACGTGTTTGCTGGATTTATTTTTTCAAGTGCCTTTCATTTTTTGTACTAAGATACTTTTTAATGTCAGAAAATCACTTACAATCATACTGATTATTAAGTCACATGTTAGAAAGACTTAAATTGTGCATATTTATACTTCCTTACAGGATTTCTGTTTTTTGCTTTCCACACGAGCTGGAGGTCTAGGAATTAATTTAGCCTCGGCTGACACTGTTGTCATATTTGATTCTGATTGGAATCCACAGAATGACCTTCAGGCACAAGCCCGAGCTCATCGGATTGGGCAGAAGAAACAGGTATCTCTCCCCCCCCCCTCCCACTCTCCCTTTCCTTTAGTCTGTTAGAATTGTTCCTGACAATCAGTATTGGGTGGTAATTTTGACTTCTCTGTCCACTGATAAGCTTGTTGGAGTAGTTATATTTCACTTCTCATGAACAAATAACTATGTCTAAATTGGATGGATCATGCACTCGCTCCATCTTTCTTCTCTTAATAGCTGTATAACACAATATTTTTATTTAATATATGAATTTTAAAATATTTGCTTATTTTAATATCAAAACAGATGGTGACTAACAGTGGTTTCTTTTTGTTCACCTTAATTTCATTGAAAAAGCCATTCTTGTAGTTCTTTTCTGTTGTGCTGTAGTTTTGGAGGTTGGGAGGTCCGCCTGCCTGTGCTCAGGGTTTACACTCAGAGATCACTCCTGGCAGTGTTGCAGGACTGTGTGGTGCTGGGGATCTAACCCAGGTGCCCTTATGTAAGTAAGGCAAGTGCCTTAACTCTGTCCTTTCTCTCCTGGCCCCATTGTCGTTTCTATTTTTGTGCAGTTAGCTGGCTCTGTTAACTCTAATGGACTTTGAGAAGAATCACTCATCTTCTGACCCCTTGGCCCTTGCATTTTAATTTACTTATCTCTCTCTCTCTCTCTAGAGAAACGCTTCATGGCTCCTTTCACTAGCAGGGCATGTGAACAAGTGCGATAAAGAAGCCTTTGTCGGGGCTGGAGCAATAGCACAGCGGGTAGGGCGTTTGCCTTGCACGCGGCCGACCTGAGTTCAATTCCCAGCATCCCATATGGTCCCCTGAGCGCCACCAGGAGTGATTCTTGAGTGCAGAGCCAGGAATAACCCCTGTGCATTGCCGGGTGTGACCCAAAAAGCAAAAAAAAAAAAAAAAAAAAAAAAAGAAGCCTTTGTCATTTGTGCTATCATTTAAAATGATATTTTCTACTGAAGTGTGTTTTATGATTTAAAAAATATTTGGTAGCTATTCTAAATTTTGTTTATAAAATATTTATTTTATTAAATCACAGTGAGATCCACAGTTGTCCAGGGTTTCGGTAACACAATATTCCAACACCCGTCACTTGACCAGTGTACATTTCCTACCACCAATGTGTGTTATGATTTAAAGCAAAAGTGTTTTAGGAATGGGGAGGTAACTCAGATGGATGGTGCCCACTTTCCCCCTCGCCACACCACTTTCTAGTCTGCCTCAAGTGGCTTCCTGTCCTCTGAGCATTCCGGGGACACCATGTGAAGAAAATGATTAAAAAGCAGTGCCTTACCAAGAGTGTATCGTGCATTTTCCTGTAATTTCTTGTTACTCGGGTTAACTGTATGTTTTAAGTAAAAGCTTATATTTATAATAATGGTTCTTCGCCTGTAATGACAGAAGCTGTTCTATTGCCCTAAAAATTTAAAACAGTTGTTTCTCAAGTAATCTTTATTTTATTATGTGACTATACTAGAATGTAAAAAATTAAGTTTGGACTTGAGAGATTAAGAGTAGAAATATTAATTAAATATTATTATTAAGAAAAATATTAATTAAAATATCATCCTGCATAAGTCATAGAAAAACAAGAAAGTACCCAGGGTATGCTGGTGTGTAAAAGAGTATATTTAATTTAGGTTAAATATTAGAAAACCTTTGAGTAGTAAAGAGAGGAAAAATTGAATTTGAATAACTACAGGCTAGGTAAAGGTAAAGGCCCTCCCGTTGTTCGTCGATTTGCTCGAGCGGGCCCAGTAACGTCTCCATTGGGGACTTTGTTGTTACTGTGTTTGGCATATCGAACACGTCACGGGGGGCTTGCCGGGCTCTGCCGTGCGGGCGAGATACTCTCGGTAGCTTGCCAGGCTCTCCGAGAGGGGCGGAGGAATCGAACTCAGGTCGGCCGTGTTGGCTGCGTGCAAGGCAAACGCCCTACCGCTGTGCTATCGCTCCAGCCCAACTACAGGCTAAGACAAATTATAGACTGTTACCAAAGGGAAGGGGAGGGATCTTTTCACAGGTGAGCAGGGTCTGATGTGTATGTGACGAGTCAAAATATCCCTGTATTAAGACACTGGGTGTGTACTGAACAGATGTCTCCTCAGTTGAAATTTCCAGCACAGGGCTAGATACAAATTCCACTTATACTTCTGAAATATCATAGGAAATGGAAATAGAGGGCTAGAGGGAGTGTTAATAAGGTTAAGACATATAGCTAGCATTAAACACTTAAGGGCTGCAGCTGGGACACTGGTTCAAGTCCTGGCACCTCTGTGATCCCAAGCATGACATCTAACCAACCGCTGCTGAATTTGGCCCTAAAGCCTCCTCCCTCCCCCACCAAAAATAATTGAAAGAATGGAGACTAGGTAAGGAAAGGAATCAGTTTTTGGGGGGGTGAGGGGGGGCACCAGGAAGGGGCGTGGTCATCCATTCCTGGCAATGCTCATACGATTTCTGCACTGAGAAATCATTCCTGGTGCATTGGCTCAGGGGACCCTATGGAAAGCCAGGGATCAAACTTGGGTTAGCTGCATGCAAGGCAAGCATCTTATGTACTGTGCTATCTTAATGCAAGATTTTTTTTAAAAATATAAAGTATATTTATATTTTTTAAATGGTTTAAATATAAAGTACATATGGTTTAAACATGAAGTATATTTTCAGTGATGAGATTATTTTTGTTATCTTTTTACTGATAAATTATGGCAAGATACCTTTTGTATTTGGTTTAAAATTTATCAAAAGAAGTATATATCTTTTGTTAAGTGTTTGCATTCTAACAACACAAAATATGAGTGGCTGTAGTTGACTGATACAAATGAGTTTTATTGGTGATGGTAATTTTTATAAGCATTTAGAATGCTGACTTTTGATAAAATCCAAATGAAACATTATCCAGTTATGTACTGATAAATATGACAATAATCATAAAAATTACTGTATACCATAGCATTTTGAAAATCTTATGTTTCTGTCAAATCAGAGTTTAAACTCAGAATAATTAAAAAGAGGTTTTAAATGGTTAGGGGGATTGAATTCAGATAAGGCCAGTTTTTTAGATATGGCCCAAACTCTAGTGTGCCCCTCCCCAATAAAACCCGAAAGCAGAGGTTAAAATCACTTCAAAGACTTGAAAGACAGGATAGGTCTTTTTCTTTTCACAGTGTCAATTGATTGCAGGATGCCTACTATCCCACATCCTTATTTTCTAAATTCTGGTTTGTTAAAATGTGGGTCACTGCCACATAACTGTGGGGGTTGCAAGAAATATTAAAAATTGGTTTTAAAATAATTTTTAATGAATATTTCATTGCATATCTATTTGGAACCGGTTAGGATTTTCTCAGATGAAAAGTTGTTGCACGTGGAGGTGGTCTGAGCACTCCTCTACTGTGCTATCGTCGACAGGGCGCTTGTCTTGCATTAGGCCAACCTGAGTTCCATCCCTGAAGCCCATCTACCATGACTGATCCCTGAGTTCAGAGCAGGAGGAAGCACCGAGCACTGCCAGGGATGGTCCCGAACCAAAAGCAAAAGCAACCTTGTGCCCTGCTCCAGATCAGAAGTTCCCAGACCTATTTGGGCTACAATTCCCTCTGCAGAGAAAACTTAGTCAGTGTCCCAGGAAATTACATTGTAAAAGTAATAAAGAGAAAGTGACCTTTGTGTGTATTCAAGATTCTTAGGGACCTCCTGGGCCTTTCCAGGCCTTGGGGAGGGCGGTATCACTTGATCTGGTACCTATGTAAGCAGTAGAGAATCCATCCAATCACTGAAACTTTGAGCAGTGCATGTCCTTGCAAGGGCCTGGCTTATGGAGCACTGGCTGACCTTGAGAGACGGGACAGTTGCCATTTTGAAAGGTTTCGATTACAGGGCTTCATCATTTATTTGAGGAGCAGGTATAGAATGGATTATGTGTAATAATGGAACCTGAATTGAACAAGGGTATTTAAAGTTCGCCATTTTCCCCAGAGAAAGATAGTTTAAAATTTACAGTCCTTTGGGAAGGAAGGGAGGGAATGAACGAGTAAAGAAAATGTGAAGAGGGATATTCTCTCAACTGTTAAACCAGAGGAACTTACTGCTGGCACATCTCATGATAGAGCATGTGCCGATCTCAGTCATTGGCTCCACAGGCGCCCCCCAAGTACTGCTGCAAGACATGGTTGTGGAGCTCCCTCAGCGCCCCCCCCCCCCCCCCCCCCCCCCCAGCACCGCACACTCTAGGCCAAGGATTGGTGCATCCAGCCAGTAGGCACCCTTCTGGCTGCTTGGAGGTTAGGCCCAGGCTCCCAGCGATGGCTGGGAAGGAATTGTGCTTTTGAAAAAGGAACATTAGCGCCTTTGATTATTTTCACTTTTCTTTTTTCTATTTTCTCTTTCTTTACTTTCACTTTTCATTTTGCGTTTAGCCTGCGAAAACCTCGTGTACGATTATTGGGAACTTCAGGTTAACAAAAGACTTTTTTTCTCTAGCTTTTGCTTGATCATACCTATCTTATCTTTGCAGGTGAATATTTATCGTCTGGTTACAAAGGGATCAGTTGAAGAGGATATTCTTGAGAGGGCCAAAAAGAAGATGGTTTTAGATCATCTTGTAATTCAAAGAATGGACACGACGGGGAAGACCGTGCTGCATACGGGCTCTGCCCCTTCCAGGTAGTCACTGCACGATTGAAAGTCACTGGAAAACATGTCGTGCCGTGTTTCCGAACCATCCTGTGCTGTGGGTACTTCTGTCACTGGGTTCCGTAGTGTTGTTCTACACACCCGAGCACACGCACGTTCATATTTTTAAAAAGTAGGGTAGATTCTATTCAGTGGCATACGTTAGGATCTTGTTTCTGCCAGTTTCTTGTTTGGGCTTTGGGTTTTGTTTTTGTTTTCTGAGATCCTGGAGATGCACAGGGCCCAACTCGTGCAAGGCAGTTTCTCTGCTGCTGAGCTACACAGCCTTTGCTCACTTGCTAGTACTCTAAGCTTGGGGAAATCCTTGGCTCTCAGAGGCTCAGTTATGTTTGCTGGGAGGTGGTGAGAGGCATCAAACCCAAGCCTTCATCCACGTGAAGGATGTGATCTGCTTCTAAGCTGCCCCTTTAGCCTAGACTTCTGCTTCCTTGTTTTTATTTGCTTGCTTTTTTTTTTTTTTTTTTGACGGGGTGGGGAGGTGACCACCCTGGTGGTGCGTGGTGCTCAGGGCTCATTCCTCATTTCTGCTCTTAAGGATCATTCTTGGTGGGGCTTGGGAACCATATGCAGTACTGGGAGTTGAATACGACTCAGCCGTGTGTAAGGCAAGCGCACTACCCACTGTACTGTCGCTCTGGTCCAAGGTTCCTTGGTTTTAAAATCCTGAAATGTTAGTCATCTTCAAATATGTGAGGTCTTGGGTGTGATTCCTGGGACTGCGCAAAAAGTAAGCTAATTAGAACTTTATTTATCTAACCATATCACATTCCTGCTGTGAAGGGGGCTGTTTCAATCATTGGTAAATGGACTGTGGAAGTGTTAACTGTTTTTGTTTTTCTTGATTTTTAGTTCTACTCCTTTCAATAAAGAAGAATTATCAGCCATTTTGAAGTTTGGTGCTGAAGAACTTTTTAAGGAACCTGAAGGAGAAGAACAGGAGCCCCAGGTGAAAACAATAGTTGAGACTAGATTCAAGTACAAAGTGTGTTTGCTTTAAAAAGGTTTTAAGAAGGTATCTTTCTCATTCTAGGAAATGGACATAGATGAAATCTTGAAGAGGGCAGAGACTCATGAAAATGAACCAGGCCCTTTAACTGTGGGTGACGAGCTGCTCTCCCAGTTCAAGGTAGACCTGGTGTTGCGTTTTGTTTGAAATTGTTTGAAAGAAGTGTAGTTGAGAGGTATTGAGCTGCTGTTTGTTCAGGATTTTAATCTCTTTAAAAAGCACAGTCTACAAATAATTTTTTAATTTCAATTAAATTTTGGTTTTGGTTAATGGGCCTCACTGGTAGTACTCAGAAACCTGTGCACGTTGCCAGGAATCAAACCAGGGTCAGCTCCATAACGGCAAACACCTTAGCCCCTGTTCTCTTTCTCTCCTTGGCCCTTTCATTAAAATCCTTAAAATTTACTGATCCAGAGAGATCGTGCAGCTGGTAGGAAGCCTAAGTGTTATCACCACAAAGAAATCAAGTAAAAAAAACTTACAAATTTCCAATTAAAACACAAATTTCCCTGATTTGATGAAGACCCAAAAGTTACATGTGTCCGAAAGCACTGTAAAACTTATGCACAGTTTCATAAAGTTGTTTGCCAGTTGTTGAATGAGTTTATCAGCTGTCCATTCAGTAAAGATTCAGTGAGCATCTGCAGAGGGACATAGCAGGGAACAAAAACTTGTAAATGCACCACTGACTGGTGGTGGAGAAACTGTTGCAGGATAAGAAGTAAAGGTGGTATTACCAGCTGGAATACTGTTTAGTTAGGAGACGCTTACCTTTATAAAGTGGAGTGATCTAAGGAGTGGTGTTTAAGCTCTTATCTACAGATAACGTCTACCCATCCATGAAAAAGTTTAATACATGGCACACCTGGACCATGTGCATAGCTGCTCGAACTTACCCCTCTTTTCAGAAAGACATTCCTCAGCTCCCCCAGATATGTCCCTTTGGCAAATAGGCAAAGTGTTGCCCTGTGTACCCCAGGCCCCTAATGCCCTGGATTGTGTCAACTCCCCCACTGGTGACCACCAGCTTTGGGAAAGATTGCTGTAGTGGCTGCAGTGAGCTTTTTCAAGGACCAGCAGGAAGTTGCTGTGGAAATTTTAATTTTCATCCGCTGATGTCATTATCTTTTTCTGCCTGCTAAGTTAAATTGTTTGCTTTAACTAGACTCAGTTGCAGTTTTTTTTTTAAAGTCATTGATGAGTGAACTAGAACAAATATGTGTTATTTTTTAGCAGTATGTATCCACATGTATACCAGTGCTTATCCACAGCTGACTTTAAGGCTCTCATCACTTTAAGATTACTGACAGGAGAGAGCAAGCATTTTTTAGTTCCATCCCTAACATGATTAAGGATAGTTTTCTTATTTTTATTTTCCTCAGGTCATTTTTTTTTTGTAGGAGTACTGCTATTTATTCAGCCACTGATTAGCTGATTGAATTGGGCATGAACTCCACCTTAATTTCTTTTCTTTTTATATTTATTTATTGAATCACTGTGGGAAAAGTTACTAAGCTTTCAGGTTTAAGTCTTGGTCATACAATGATCAAACACCTTTCCCTTCACCAGTACTCATTTTTCACCACCAAGAACCCCAGTATGCCCCCCCTCCCACCCCTCCAGATGCCTGTGAGGCAGATGATTTCTACTTAACTCTTCTACATTGATTACATGCATTATTTCGACAAAAGAGGCACCATTATTGTTTAAAATTTCCCCCCAAACAATTGCTGAAAAGGCATTGTGAAATATTTTGTTTTCTATAGCTGGTTATGAGAATCATATAATGTCACGTGGCCACGATTTTGGATTTCTGCAAAGAGCCAGATAATTACGAGATTTGTTTAAGTGTGCTGGTCTTATGGCTGTGCCAGAGAGCCGCTCGTGGGGGGCAACTCGTGACCTCAGTAGGGCGTGAAGGACGAGCCGGTACCACCCCCCTTCCCATGAGACTGCAGTTACCCCTTCACCGCCAGTTCATACCTGGATTTCCAATAAGCTCTGAGGTGGCTGCTACCTTGTATGCAGTCCAGATGCATTTCTGCCAAAAACCGCTGGGTTTCAAGATCTGTTTCTGAGTCTCCGGTATCATGGCTATTAATCAGCTTGACCAGGAGCCAGAGAGGCCGTTTGTAGGCGGCGACTCGTGTCTCGTTGGGATGGGGAGAAAGAGTCGGCTCCACCTCATGTGGTGAGGCCCCGTGTGTCTCGTCACTGCAGGCCCAAACCTGACTGTCCAGTGGCCTCTGGAGGATGGTGGTCACCAGGCCGCCAGGGGGAACAGGTCAAGGCACAAAACCTATTCCCACCTGGAGTCGCCCAGTGCCAGTAACCTACTGCAGGAACAGGACACATTTCTGCCAAAAGCCTTTGGGTTTCGAGATTCGTTTCTGAGTCTCTGAGATCTTGGCCATTAAGCAGTTCGATCAGGAACCAGAGAGGCCATGCCTCCAATTGTATAGCTGAGCCGAAAGTGGTTTGTGGGTGTGTCTCACACACACCTAACTTTTGGCCGTTTACTTTCTGGTAAACTTTGCCCCAAGTTTTTGGGGTCTGGCCAGAGGCACAGCAGCAATGTTGGGGTATCTGAAAGTCTGACGTTGCCATCAGGCTGCTGATGCACTCACCTCACAGGTACAGATTGACCTGCTGGCGGCACCATACCCCCATTCCTCAGGTCCTTTTAAGTTTTAAGGTATGCGGGCTTTTTGTATATCAGACTTTCATTTGTTTGGTCCTCACAAAAATTACTGTGTTCTGTTGCTGTTCCTTTTTATAGGAGAAGGGCGTGTAGGGGGAGTCGTTCTGGGTTTGGGCCACACCCTCAGAGAGCTCTTGCTGTTTTCCTGAGGACCATATACGGTACTTAGGATTGAACTGGTGTTTGCTGTGTCCAGGGGATGTGAGCACTTTACTCCTGTACCGTATCAATAGCCCAGCTGGCCTTTTTTAAGATGAAGTTAAGGAACCTGAATCATAGTATCTTCAGGTACTATTTTGGTAGATAGTGAAAGTAAGACAATTCAGTGGTTATGTACTTGATAGTTAATAACTGTTTTGGTAATGAACTTAGAAGATTATTTCCTATATTGTGCTGCAAAGTATTTTATTGTTATTGTTAATTTTCTCTAGTTCTTCTACCCAAGTATCATTTTGTTTGAGCAGCATGGCAGAAAAGAGGCTCGTCACTGGAAGAGAATCTTAGTGTTAACTTAGGTGTTCTGCTTTGACCCAATGAAGAAATAAACTTTTAACTGTTAAACTTGGCTGAGTCTATAGTCCTGTTGATTATCCTAAGGATATTTACTTTTTACTTTTCTAGTATGGCCTTCTGCTTCCCTTTAAAAGGGGGGAGGGAAACAATTTAAATGTGAATTCCTTAATAATTGGCTGTTCGATTCTGTAATTTATCAGGTTGCCAACTTTTCAAATATGGATGAGGATGATATTGAGTTGGAACCTGAAAGAAATTCAAAGAATTGGGAGGAAATCATTCCAGAAGATCAAAGAAGACGATTAGAAGAGGAAGAAAGACAAAAGGAGCTTGAAAAGATTTACATGCTCCCAAGAATGAGAAACTGTGCAAAACAGGTGATTTTTTTTTTAACTTAAAATATCCCTATAATTTAATAATGTGCCTAAATCGGTCTTTACATTTGAGGTGTTAGTCCGTAATTTCTCTTTAAGGGGCTGGAGTGATAGCACAGCGGGTAGGGTGTTTGCCTTGCATGTGGCCGACCCGGGTTTGATTCCCAGCATCCCATGTGATCCCCTGAGCACCACCAGGGATAATTCCTGAGTGCAGAGCCAGGAGTGACCTAAGAAGCAAAAAGAAAAAAAAAGCTTTTCACTGAAATAGCATTGCATTATTAGGTATGTTTAGGTTATTAATTATTGAAAACATTTTCTTATATCTGACTGGATAACTCATAAAATGAGTTCAAAAGTTAGTGTAGGAAGAGTGTGCAGAAATGACATTACTTATTTTTTTAAATTTTTTTTATTTTTTAATTTTTATTAGTGAGACACCATGAGGTACATTTGTGATTTACAAATTTTTGTGCTTGGGTTTCTCAGTTATACCATGATCAAATACCCCTCCTCCCTCCACCAGTGCCCATTTCCCACCACCACGGATCCCAGTATCCCTCCCACCCCCCACCCCGCCCATCCCACTCTGCCTCTGTGGCAGGGCATTCCCTTTTGTTCTCTCTCTCCTATTGGGTGTTGTGTTTTGCATAAGAGGCAATGGGTGACAATCATGTTTGGTCTATATTCTACTTTCAGCATGCTTGTCCCGTCCTGGGAGGCTCCTCCCAACACCCTTTATTTGGTGCTCCCTTCTCTATCTGAGCTCTCTTTTCCCCTAGCAAGTGTGGCTGGCCTCCGAGCCATGGAGTAAGATTCCTGGTTACTTCTTTATTAAATATTTGATAGTGTTTGTCAGGAAGACCAGAAAGACCTGTATTTTTCTTTATCGGAAGATTTCTTTAACTCTAGCTTCAGTTTCTTTTTTAAAGTACTCCTCAGTTTTTTTTTTTTTTAACTTTTATTATTAAATCACTGTGAGATAGACTCTTACAGAGCTGTTAGGTTTCAGTCATACAGTATTCCCAACCCATCTCTCCATCAGTGCGCAGTTCCCAGCACCAGTGTCTCCAGGTTCCCTCCCATCACCCCCCACCTCCTTCAAAATAAGGCACCTAGTCCAGACTATACTCATGCCTTTGTGAGGGCCTGGATGCGTGTACACACACACAGTGAAATATTTCTTGACTTTGGTGATTTCAAGGAATTTATTCTTTTAATCTAAGTTGTTGAAGTTATAGGTATAAAGTTCTTCCTGTTATGCCTTCAGGGTCTGAGATATGAAAGTATGAAATGGTTTTCCATTTTCATTTCCTAATATTGATGGTTTTTTCCTTCCTCCTTTTGTCAGGAACTTTCCACAAAGGTTAATTGTGGCCAATACTTGTGGCCAATCAGTGCTCTATCCCCAGCACCCCAAATGGTACCACTAGGGGTGATTCCTGAAGTGTAGAGCCAAGAATAAGCCCTGAGCACCACCTGATGTGGCCCTAAAACAAAATCTAATGTCAGCCTAATTATATTTCTAGTAAGTCGTCAAGTAGGAGAACTTGGGGCGGAAAAAATCCCACTATTTTCTTCAGTAATATATTCTAATACGTTAAAATACATATTTTCCAAATTTTGTTCGAGAAATAGCTAATTTCAAATTTGCTTTCTTCTGTTTTACAATACAATAGACAATTTTAATTATTCCAGTACACAATTTATTTTTGTGGAGGGGTTTCCACTGGCATTGCTAAGGGGCTACTGCAAACCCTGTGCTAGCAGATCACTATTGGCAGCTAAGAACATCTCAGCCTTTCATTAGATTATTTGATATCTGATAGATTGTTTAGAATGACTGTTGATTCATTTTCTTCACATTCTTATTTTTTTATTTATTTTTTAATTTTTTAATGTAGGAGTACTGCTATTTATTCAGCCACTGATTAGGCTGTTTGAATTGGGAATGAACTCCACCAGTGTTCCCCCATCCCACACCCTCCCCCTACCTGTCAGGCAGATGATTTCCACATGACTCTCTCTCTACTTTGATCACATTCAATATTTTGACACCAGACCCACCATTATTATTTGGGATTTTACCCCAACACTTAGATCTGCCGAAAAGGCAACTGTAGACAATTTGTTTTCTATTGCTAGTTATGAATAACATATGATGTCATGCAGCTGGAGTAGTGGCCACATGATTTTGGAATTACAAAATTTTAACAAATCTGGAGGGATTTCTGCCAAAAGCTGTTGGGTTTCGAGTTTTGTTTCTGAGTCTCTGGGATCATGGCCATTAAGCAGCTTGATCAGGAGCCAGAGAGGCTGTTAGTGGGTGGCGACTTGGGGTCTCATTGGGACAGGGAGGAAAGGGCCAGCTCCACCCCATCTCATGAGGCCCCATATGTCTTGTCACTGAGGGCCCAAACCTTACTGTCCAATGACCTCTGGAAGATGGCAGCCACCGAGCCGCCAAGGGGGAGCAGGCGGAGGGACAGCACCCTTTCTCCCCTGGGGTGGCCCAGCGACAGTAACCTACTGCGGGGTCCAGACACATTTCTGCCAAAAGCCGCTGGGTTACAAGATTTGTTTGAGTCTCTGGGATCATGGCCATTAAACAACTTGATCAGGAGCCAGAGAGGCAGCTTGTGGGTGGCGACTCGGGGTCTCGTCGGGACAGGGAGGAAAGGGCCAGCTCCACCCCCAACTCGTGAGGCCCCGCTTGTCTCGTCACTGCAGGCCCAAACCTGACTGTCCAGTGGCCTCTAGAGAGGATGGCGGCCATTGGGCCGCCAGGGGGAACAGGCCAAGGCACGAAACCTATTCCCACCTGGGTTGGGCCAGCACCGGTAGCCTACTGCAGAGACCAGACGCATTTCTACCTAAAGCCACTGGGTTCCGAGATTCGTTTCTGAGTCTCTGGGATCATGGCTGTTAAGCAGTTCGATCAGGAACCAGAGCCTCCAATTATGTAGCTGAGCCGGAGGTGGTTTGTGGGTGTGTCTCCCACATACCTAACTTTTGGCCGTTTACTTTCTTGGTAAACTTTGCCCCAAGTTTTTGGGGTCTGGCCAAAGGCACAGCAGCAATTTTGGGGTATCAAAGTCTAAAGGCACCATCAGGCTCTTGATGCACTCACCTCAACAGGTACAGATTGACCTGCTGGCGGCACCATAACCCCTTCTTCACATTTTTAATCTAAGAAAAATTGCCTAGAGTGATGTTGCTAGGTAATTTTTTTTACTGTTTTTTCTTTTCTTTTTCCCTCTCTTCTCTCGCACGTCTCTTTTTCTTCCCTCCTGTCCTTCTCTGCCCTTTTCTTTTCTTTTCTCTTTTCTTTTCTTCCCTGCCAGGGATTGAACCCAGTTCTGCCCTTTTCTTTTCTCTTTTCTTTTCTTCCCTGCCAGGGATTGAACCCAGTTCTGCCCTTTTCTTTTCTCTTTTCTTTTCTTCCCTGCCAGGGATTGAACCCAGGGACCTCACTTTTACAAAAGCAAGTGCTCTATTGCCGAACTCTATTCAAGACCCCCAGAATTCTTTTAAGGCTTTTGATATAATAATAACAGAGGTGTATAACTTTATGTTTAAATACCTGCCAGAGGTGTATAACTTTATGTTCCATTGCCAGTATTGGCTGTTAATGCATAGATAGTTTTGGTAAGTTAACAGTTTTAAAAGTAATATTTCATTGCTAAGTTTAATTCATACTTAAATTATTTACCAAATGTGATTGTATAATTTTATATGGATAGTGCTTGATTAATTGCTTATTAGTAATCTTTTCCATTTTTACAAAAAACGATTATGGTTATTTTCTTGGTGATTCATAAGAATGTTCTAAGTATTAAGGCTAGTAACTCTTTAACATGCTGCATTTTTGTTTGCTTTTTTAAAATTTGGTTCATCGAATGTTTTTTTGTGTATAAAACATTGAAATTTGCTGGTTCTGTCGATCTCTGTAATGTACTGTCTCTTCTTAAATTGCTCAGGTAGATTTTTGTTTTCAAATTCCAGATTAGTTTCAATGGTAGTGAAGGAAGGCGGAGTAGAAGCAGGAGATACTCAGGATCTGATAGTGATTCTATCTCAGAAAGGAAGAGGCCAAAGAAACGTGGACGGCCACGGACTATTCCCCGTGAAAACATTAAAGGATTTAGTGATGCAGAAATTCGGCGGTAAGATGGCATAAGACCATTTCAGTTCCGCTTGCCTTTTATTAGAGAATGAAATCAAACTATAGAGATCCTGTTGTTTTTAAGATTACAATGAAAATTTTAGAGATGGCGAATATATAATAGACTGGGTTGTGGTTTATCTGGTCATTTTTAACTGAAAAAAAAGTTTAATATCTAATTTTTGTTCATTTATTCTTAGAGCAGATTGCTAATTATTTTGCTTTTATTAATATGGTTCAGAATAGTAGCCCCTTTCAATAATGAATGCATATATTAATATATTGGTTTTATTTATACTGAATATCCTCGTTGCATTTATGACTCCCAGTATTACTACTTTTATAATTTTAGTTTTATATTTTCTAGTTTTTTGGGGCTTTTTTAATTATTGAGGTCATTTGCTTTTTGAAAGTAACCATGTTAAAACAATTTGATATGTCCAAATAGGAATTGAGGTAAGATTGGCCATCAAAGATAAATTGTAGTTTTTCTTTTGAAAATACATTTGCGTATATGGATTCATTTAAGGGAAGTGGGGAATACAATTTACTTTTTGTCCATGTTATATTTTTGTATGTGAAATTTGTAAAAAGGTTGTTCATTGTTGTATTTACAGTATGTTGTTTCTTCAAGCCATTGTAACTCTTTTCTTTTAAATCATAGACCTGACAAATTGACAAAGTTCTTCCTCATTCTTTCTACCAGAAAACTAAATACATATTGTTAGATTTTGTTCAGGGCACTTTTATGACCATCTGATTTGCTGGACTTTCTATCTTTAGTTGAAGAGCATTTCAACTTTTCCTGGATATTTTCCCTCATCCATCAACCACTTAGGTAGCTTTGTTCTTAAGTATAATTTTCATTTTCCATTGTTGGTATAATACCATACATCTGAATTGAAGTTATATTCAGTAAACTTTTATCAACACTTGGAGTATGTGAGGAGGTGTAAAATGCTTGATAATCCTGAAGACACTTCCTGTGCTAGCCTTTAACCTTTTTTTTTGTCTTGTAAAAATAATAAAGTAATTTCTAAAATAAAATTTAGCTTCTATTGTTTTATTTACTTTGGTTTCTATCATCCCTGGTGTTAAAATGTCGTCTTTCTTGTTTGATGTATTTTAACACTTAACATTTCTGTTTCTAGCATCATTGATTCATTTTTGTTAATAACAGTCCTTTGGATTAATGTTTGTACTGACAAGTATTTTCTTGTTTCTGTTTATTTGAAAACAAATTTTTAATGGATACTGGAGCCTGCATTTAAACCAAACAATTATTTTCTGTCAGGTTCATCAAGAGTTACAAGAAATTTGGTGGCCCTCTGGAAAGGTAACTATATTTGCCATTTTCGTAGAATCAGAGAACGCGTTACATGCTGCTTTCTTGATACTAAGATTCAGGTTGTCCACTTTGTTTAAGTTTACTTTTACAGACATTTGCAGAATAAATCTATGGAAAGCACATTTCTAGTAAATTTGCCTTTGTTTTTTCTGCAGCTGGAGAGATAGTACAGGGGTAAGATTCTTCCTGTGTCTGTTGCTGACTCTGATCTCTGCATCCTCCCATGTTCCCACAGGCCTTGGCTGTGGACATCCCTGAGTACAAAAAACTGTGGGACTCCACCCTCCAAAAAAACAGATTTTTTAATTGCATTCTTAATTCTTTGTGGAATCTACAATTATTTTTATGTTACATAAGATTTTTCACATATGTACCTCTTTTTTTTTTTTTAATTACAACGTGTAGATTCATTCAAGAGGCTGAGTTGACTAATTGTGTTTACTCTTACCACGGAAGTTTCCTTCAATTTATCTAATGCTGCTTTTTATATATATTCTGTTAAATTGTAAAGCCCTTTTCTTTTGAGGGACAAGTGGGATGTGTTTGTGTTTTGGGGCCAAACCCTGTGGTTTTCAGGGTTGACTCCTGGCTCTGTGCTCACGGGTCACTACTGCCTGGGCTTGGGGGATCATGTGCCATGCCAGGGATTGAACTGGGGTTGACCATATGCTTGGCAAGTGCCTTAACCCCTGTACCATCTCCCTGGTCCCTGTGAAGAACATTTTAAAATGTTATGGTTAAACTTTATTAAAGCAGGTGATTTTAATTTTTATTGCACTTTGCTGTGGCTGATTCTCTGAATAGTCACGAAGATGCAAATTGATTTCATTTTTCTCTCCCCACATCTTCTCTGAAGCAAATGTCTTTTTAAGACGAAATAGATTTTTTTTATTTTTTATTTTTTTGCTTTTTGGGTCACACCGGCGGTGCACAGGGGTTACTCCTGGCTCATGCACTCAGGAATCACTCCTGGTGGTGCTTGGGGGACCATATGGGATACTGGGGTTCGAACCCTAGTCAGCCACATGCAAGGCAAACGCCCTACTCGCTGGGCTGTCACTCCAGCCCAGAAATAGATGTTTTTATGATGAGTTTCATGAAATCTTTGTGTGATTGTTTTTAATGACAAGCGGTTTTGAACACTAGTGATTCATATTTTCTACTTGGCGCAGTAATAAAACTTGTGGAGCTTTGTTTACCATTTTAGTTTTGTAATAACCACACATATTGAACTTCATTGATGAAAAGATTTTAGATAATGATTAAGTAATTTTGAAATTTAAGATCCTGTCATTCGTAACAAATTGGTCGACTGTATTAACCTTGAATATTAAATGAATTGTGTTCTCATGAAATATTTCCAGTGTTTATTTTAATCTCATGCCAGTCTTATGAACTGTAGAGCATGTAATTGAAAGATTTGTAGAATTTGAAAGTGAAACAGTCTTAAAGTAGCTCCATTTCCTTCTTTATATTTACCTGAAAATTGTATTTTTTTTTAATTACAGATTAGATGCAATCGCTCGAGATGCTGAATTAGTTGACAAATCAGAGATAGATCTCAGACGACTAGGAGAATTAGTACATAATGGTTGTATTAAGGCTTTAAAGGATAATTCTTCAGGAACAGAACGAACAGGTAACATTCAAATGAGAGAGACTTAGGGAAACTAAAGTTTCAAGATACACTTATTCGGTTGGGGAGCCATGTCTTAAATTGTCTATTCATCAGTCTTAAAAGATATTTTATGAAAACAGTGCGAGATCATTTCAGGATAAGAGAAAGTAAGGGACCTTTTGCTTATCAGAAGCAAAAGCAGTGCTCTGCCTGGGTTTGTTCTGGCAAGGAGGTAACATGGGAACATCAGGAGATACTGTATACTTTTTCATTTGTTTTTTTAGTACATGTGTGTACATGAAATAGAATGTAAGTGTACACAGTTGATAATGACATAGCACTCTTTGCTATGCTTATCTTGTGATTCATATTCCTACCCAAGAAGAAACATGTAGGACAAAACCTTGTAATCACACATGCTGGGGGAAGAAATGATGGTTGCTTCTTTTGTAATTGATTAAACAGTTTTGTGACTGTTAGGTTCTAGGGAGATTTAGGTTTGCTCGTAAGCCTGCCTTTAAAATAATATAAGCAGGAACATAGGTTGCTTTATATTTGGTAGGATTATGTGTTTTATACTTTTCTAATTTTTTTTTTTTTTAACAAAACTAAGGCGGTAGACTTGGGAAAGTGAAGGGTCCAACATTTCGAATATCAGGAGTTCAGGTGAATGCGAAGCTAGTCATTTCCCATGAAGAAGAACTAATGCCACTACACAAATCCATTCCTTCAGATCCAGAAGAAAGAAAGCAGTGAGTGACACTTTTTCTCTGTGACCTCTTTGTTGCTGTTTGTTGTAATAAAGTGTGCATCTTAAATATATTTAATTTTTTTGTCATTGACTGGTTTGAATCCAACTTTTAAATTTAAAGCACAGTATCTTGAAGTTTATAATTTTGACTTAAAAATAATTATAATAAAGGTAAAGGCCCTCCCGTTGATCGTCGATCTGCTCGAGCGGGCCCAGTAACGTCTCCATTGGAGACTTTGTTGTTACTGTGTCTGGCATATCGAATACTCTCGGTAGCTTGCCGGGCTCTCCGAGAGGGGTGGAGGAATCGAACTCGGGTCGGCCATGTTGGCCGCTTGTAAGGCGAACGCCCTACCTGCTGTGCTATCGCTCCAGGAGTGGAGCCTGTGGCTTAATTTGACTCAACACGGGAAACCTCACCCGGCCCGGACACGGACAGGATTGACAGATTGATAGCTCTTTCTCGATTCCGTGGGTGGTGGTGCATGGCCGTTCTTAGTTGGTGGAGCGATTTGTCTGGTTAATTCCGATAACGAATGAGAAAAAATAATTATAATTAAATATAATTAAAACAATAATTGTAACAAGAGAATTGTAATCCTTACAGTGGTTTCTGTTATTTTGATGCCAGGTATACTATACCATGCCATACAAAAGCAGCTCATTTCGATATAGACTGGGGCAAAGAAGATGATTCCAATTTGTTAATTGGTATCTATGAATATGGATATGGAAGCTGGGAAATGATTAAAATGGATCCTGATCTAAGTTTAACACACAAGGTACTTCAATATTTTTTGGTTTTGTTACCAGTAATGCTGGATCAGTTTTACTCTCTCTCCTCTTTTGGGGGGGGTGTGCCATGCCTGGCAATGCTCACGGCTACTCCTGTTGGTGCTCTGGGGGCCATTTGGGATGCCGGGGATCAAACCTGGGTCTGCTGCCTGCGAGGCAAGAGCCCTGCTGGCTGAGCTGGCCTTGTATTCTGATTTTCAGTTTGTATTTATAAATCGTGTGGAAGCAAACTCACTGAAGTCAGGAAAAACAAGTTGCTATCTGTGTGTCCCTGCTTTGGAAGATGGTTTTTATGCTAGTGTATGCTCTGTTACTTGAGCTGTCTCTCGCCTGGATTTTGGATTTTGTACTTTTTTAAAATAAGATTTTATTTAGAGTGATATGGGCCGGGAGAGCATAGAGAGCCAGCGTGTGTGAGTCCCTGTTCGACTACCGAATGTACCCGCTTCCCTTCATAGACAGTCCTTTACAGAGGTGCTTTGCTGCTCGGGTGTGGCCAAGGGTTTGACAGCCTTTTCCAGTCTTCCTGCAGTCCCTTCTCATCCCCGCCCCCTTGGATTTTGTATTCTCGAGAGGAAATAAAAGAAAGAGAATGAGATTAAAATGTATACACAAAGTAGGCTGTTAGGTCAGGGGACCCTTGGGAATGAATTTTAGGAAGCTGTAAAACTAAAACATCATCTGGAAAGGACACACCCTGCACCTCTGGTAGCCCAAAGCCATCCGTGCCTAAAGACTGGACATCCTTGGAGATGTCACAGGATGACAAAGGCCCTGAAAGATGGACTGCAGAGCTCAGCCGGAAGGCGCCTACTGGCCCTCAACGGCAGACCGCTCAGAACACCCTGGGCAGTGTAGCTGAGGTCTCTTTGAAGACGGACTGCTCGGCTCTTTTGCCCATTTTTTCCATTGGATTGTTTTTGTTAACTGTGAGTAATTTGCATAGCCTTGAATGAAATTACTTTTTCCAGGACTATGATTTGCTAATAGCTTCTCCCATTTTCAGTCGACTATTTTGGGGTCTGTATTGGCTTTGCTCCACACTGATGACTCGGTGCTGATTGGCCATATGTTTTTCTGTAGAAGGAGCTGGGGTTAGCTATTTGCAAGGCAGCGATGTATCTCTGGCCCAAATGCATTTGTTCAGTTCGTACTTTCTCCGCGTGCAGAACTTTACCATTTAATGTCCAACTGTTTATTATCCTTCCTTTAGACATTTTTTTTTAAAAAAAAGATTAACCCCAATGATTTTTAACTGCTGACCAGTACACCGCTACTGATAAGTTTTATTTATTATTGATAATGATATCATTTATTATAATGATATTTATTAAATAATAAATATCAGTATTTATTATTTATTTAGTTTTTGTCGACACTCAGCAATGCTACTCCCGGCTGTGCACTCAGAAATTATTCCTGGTGGGCTCAGCGGACAGTATGGGATGCTGGGGGTTAAACCCAGATTGACAGTGTACAAGGCAAATGTCTTGCCTGTACTGTATGTCTGGCCCCAACTGACCTGTTTTAGAAGGTTGAAAACAACTATTAAAAAAAATTAAAGAGCAAAATTATAAAAGTAGAAGAAGAAAGAATAGTGTTAAAAAGTATATTAAAGTGTTCAGGATTTTGTTGATCAGATGCTACAATTGTAACTAGAAGCATTTCCTTATTCTCATTTATGCTACCTCCTTATATTTTATTGCTTGGAAAAGTGGAATCTATAGGTTTGGTACTTCACTTGTTGCTTGTTATTATGAAACGAAAGTTAGTTGTGAAAGTTTTCTCTGGCCTGAGCCGTGCCCCTACTTGATGTGTGCTGCGTACCCCCCCCACCCCACCCCTCAGTTTCCTCACAGGGCGTGCGTTAGCTTAGCAGATGATACTTCAGTATTCTAGGACTGTATGTCTACTTTAATTACATGTACTGTTACTGGGAAGGAAGTCTAAGGACACTGTAATGTTCAGTATTGTACACTAAATGCACTGTTGTATGTTAGAAAACTTCTAGCCTCACAAATCACACAAATCACAAATCATCCTGTTATTTGTCGATTGCCTCGAGCAGGCCCCAGTAATGTCTCCTTCATCTTAGCCCTGAGATTATATTCAAGGCTCTTTAGGAGATCTCGAGACCCATCCTTGTTACTGGTATTTGGCATTTTGGCTACGCCACGGGGAGTTTGCCAGACTCTGCCATGTGGGCAGGCTACATTCGGTAGCCTGCCAGTTTGTCCTTCTCACCAATGGGTATAATAAAATAAATTCTCCCTTTGGTGATTCTCAGCCACCCTATTTGCTTCCCTTATCTCCCCACCTCGACTCCACAGGAAACCAGTATGAGATGTATGACATGGAACCCTGAGCCTCATATATAAAGAACATGCAGTCTCCCACTGAGTTTCCCCCACCATTGCAGGGGTTTTTTTGTTTGTTTGTTTTTTGGTTTCTATTTTGCTTTTTGGGTCACACCAGCATTGCTCAAGGGTTACTCCTGGCAGGGCTCAGGGGACGGACCACCATTTGACCCAGGGATCAAATCTGGGTCAGCCTTGGGCACAAGTGCCTTCCCCACTGTACTATCTCTCTGACCAAGCTTCAGGGTTCATTTGTTTGTTTTGTTTTTTTTGGACACACCCTGAAGTGCTCAGGGCTTACTACCAGCTTTGTACTCAGGAATTATTCTTAGCAGTGCTCCAGGGCACGATATGGGTAATTGAACCCAAATCTGCCAGGTGCAAGGCAAATGCCCTACCTGCTATACTATCACTCAAGCCCCCACTTTTACAGCCTCACATTACCTACTTATTTTTAAAATTTTTTATTTGTATTACCATTATTATTTGTCTGGGCGAGGGTAGTTCCTCCCAGCAGTGTTGGGAGCTACCAGAGCTACCCTGTCAGTGATTGGGAGACCATGTGGTGCTGGGCTTTAACTCTGCACAGTAAATCCTGGGCACATGCTCCAGCCTTGTGAGTCTCCGTAGGCCCACTGTCTCTTTGGAAATGGATAGATCCGAGGGCGGAATTACGTGATTTTGGGAGTTGGAGGAAGTGGGTTGTTTGCTCTTTTTCTTGTTCATTTACAGTTTACTCCTAGGGAAATTGAGTCTTTTGTCTCTGGTAAAATAATGAAAATTCTGAGTTTAGGAGCTGGAGAGAGAGTTATCACATACAGGGAATTTGCCTTGCACACAGCTGACCCAAGTTTGATTCCTGGTACCCCCTTGTGGTTCCTGAGCACTGCCAGGATTGATCCCTGCGAACTTTCAGGTGGAACCCTAAAAAATCAAAACCAAAAAATTCTGAGTTTTTTATTCCTGTAAGTTTTAAAAATTGTTACTTATTAGTGAATGCACACACAGTAGATAAGCATATTTAGCACTAAATTTCACAGTTATTAAAGACAACCTGAAAAATTAATTGCTTTTCAGATTCTTCCAGATGATCCTGATAAAAAACCACAAGCAAAGCAATTGCAGACTCGTGCAGACTACCTCATCAAATTACTTAGTAAGGATCTTGCAAAAAAAGAAGCTCAGAGGCTTTCTGGTGCAGTAAGTACAATCTTAAATATTTAAGAGCAATTTAATTTTCAGTAAAATAATTTAATTTGCTGATAACTGCAAACTCCCATGTAATATTAAAAAGCTATAAGTATATATTTCTGTTAATTTAGTACCTGTATTTGAGCAAAGTCATATTTTGCCGTAAATTATCTCAGCTTTCTTGTTAAAAGTGATAAGTGATTTCACTCTGGACAAGGTCTGAGGGTCGAAAGTAGGTAAGGGGTATTTTTGATAACAGTATCAGTATTGCAAATCACAGTGCCCAAAAGGGGAGGTGGGGAGGGGGCAGGGGAGAAGAAGAAGGAGCTTGCGAATCCCAATAAAGATGATGGGAAGGAACCTCAGGACACTGGTGATAGGAAATGTGCACTGGTGAAGGGACGGGTGTTGGAATATGTTATGGCTGAAATCCGATCATGAACGGCCTTGTAATGCTCTAAAATAATAGTAAAAGAAAAATTTAAGAACAGTGATAAGTGATCATTTTCAAAAGTGGGATCCCCCTTTCTAATTTATTCAGGTAGGTTTGGGTGGAACTTGAGGAGTACAGGTTTCTGTTTAAGAGGCCAAGTTTTCGTTACTGTTTTGTTGGAGTCATTAGAATATATAAGGGACAGTATTGAAGATGACCAAGTTAATTATGAGTGAATTTTAAAATGTAAATAAAAGAGACTATGAAAAGGTGAATGAAAACTAAAATAATCTTGAAAGTTTGCTTATAAACACACTATAACTCCCTATGAACTACTAAAAATCATTTCTAATGATTTCTCTGGTGTCATCTTAGCAGAAGGTAGAGTGGGAGGAAAGACAGCCCTCCCATTCCTCTATACTTTTTCCCAGGTGGGGGTTCTGGTAATATTCTTGACCAGCTGGGCTGAGAATGCTTCAGTGGTTCAATGCCCAGGATGCGGTGCTGCTTAGGGCCTGTGCTGCAAAGGGTTGCACAGGCCACTTGGTAGTGCTTGGGGGCACTCCAGGACTGCTCCCTGCCCTGTGATGCCAGAGCTTGAACCAGGGTCATGTACCTTAACTACTGGACAATCTGTCCAGCCAGTAATAGTTGTAGTTTGTTGGCATTGACCTAAGTATTAGAGTGAGTTGACTAAGATTAGTGAGTAATATCAGTTGGCTAAGAATTGAGTAGAACTAACTATAGATACTATTTTAACATTTTAGACTTAATATGTAAATGGATTTTTATAAATGCAACCTACGAAGTTGGTTAGAATTTAAAGAATACCTTATTTTCAGGGAGGTTCGAAGAGAAGAAAAGCAAGAGCTAAGAAGAATAAAGCAATGAAATCTATAAAAGTAAAAGAAGAAATAAAGAGCGATTCTTCTCCACTGCCCTCAGAAAAGTCTGATGAAGATGATGATAAGGTAAGAACACGTTTTAGGGAGGCAACTTTTTAAGTAGAAATAGAACATGGATTATTTTAAATTTGAAATATTAATTTGACACCTGAAATTTTACTTTCAGGTCCTAGTTATTTTTTATTTTTCGTCATATAGTCTTGTTTACAGAGCAGAGTTCTACCCGTCCAGTAGAATGTTATGAATATGCATCACTAGAGGATAAGATGAAAGGTCCTTCCTTTTCAAACATTTTCCAGTTGAGTGAGGTTCTGTCTCCTTGGATTTTATTATGAATTTTAAACAAAACTGGTTTACCTTAATTCTGATAGGAAGGTAAACATTGCATGTATCAATATTAATGGGATTCTGTGTTATTTCTTTCAGAATCCACATACATGCAATCCAAAGTCATGCAAAGAAAAGAAATTAGTCTTTTTCAGGATATGGTTAGTAATACATTGGCCATACTTGCACTTTCCAGGATGAGCTCACTTCTGTGAAACATCCAAATAAAAAAATTAAAACAGAAAGAGACAGTGAAGAAAAACCTGAGCCAGATGTTTGTATAAAGAAGGAAGCAGAAGAAAAGAGGGAAGCAAAAGAAAAAGAGAATAAAAGAGACCTTAAAAGGGAGATAAAAGAAAAGGAGAATAAGAAAGATATAAAAGATTTTAAAGAAAAAAGAGAAAACAAAGTTAAAGAAGCTATGCAGAAAGAAAAAGACATAAAGGAAGAAAAGGTATGCCAACCACCCTGTGAAATTTAGAAAGTGAAATAGTTAGCATTTCTGTTCTTACATCTTAGGGGAATAAATTACTTGTCCACCCAAATCAGTCTAATAGTTTAGTTCTTTACAAATACACACTGGGTGTTCAGTGAAGGAGAGAAGTAGGCTTGAATACTTCTCGAAATGCCGTAAGCTAGGGTAACATCAGAGTAGCTTTTGATTGTGTTTACCTGAAACAAAATCAGGAGAAGATAGACAACAATGATGTGAGTAAACAGTTATAGAAAAAAATGAGACAGTAATTGTTTTTCTGACTGTGTTAATTGCCTTTGCTGTTGCTTTCTTCTCCTCTGCCCTACATTCAGCTGAATGAATCTAAGGCTGACAGCAAGGAAAAATCTAAGAAGTCATCGGTGTCAGATGCTCCTGTTCACATAACTGCGAGTGGCGAACCAGTTCCTATATCTGAAGAATCTGAAGAGCTAGACCAGAAGACATTCAGCATTGTAAGTAGGAAATCCGGTGATTTGCAACAGTTGATGTGGCATTTCATTTCAATTCCGTGTTCACACTTGGAACCCGTCGCGGGTCTTTCTGGTCCTTGGGGCCTGGCACGTGCTCCGCCTCTTTGAGTGACGAGACCCTTCCCCAAGTCCTGGGCTTTCAGCATTTATCTTTATAATGTATCTTAATCCTGCCTCTCGGTCTTTTCCTGTGGATTTCTATTTTTTGTATTGAATAGGAAGAGGAGGGACTAATGTGCTTTCTCTCACTTATTCTCTCTCCACCCCCCAGTTATTCCTAACAAATAATTTTAAAAATCCCCAACTAATTTAAACAAGTAGTTCAATGAAACAATAAATAGGAGTATTGTAACCTGCCAATCATGAAGCTAAAATTATTCTTTCCAGTTTATTTTGTATTTATTAATGTATGTATAGTTTACTAGAGTTATTGGGAGCGGGAGAATCATCCACAGGGTCTGTTTTTGGTCCTGTACTCAAGAGTGACCTCTCGGTACATAATATTCAAATCTTTCAATGGCACAAAGAATTATTTTTGATCTAATAATGAACAGTATTGCTCTGAAAAAAGTCTATGCAGAGTTGTAAGGTAAGGATCACTGTTTGAGCCTTGCATAAAGCCATGCTCATGTGTCATTGAAAGCGCTAGATCTTTTTGAATAATGTTTTTAATACATGTATTCATTTATTTTAAAGTGTAAAGAAAGAATGAGGCCTGTCAAAGCAGCATTGAAACAACTTGATAGGCCTGAGAAAGGCCTTTCAGAGAGAGAACAGCTGGAACATACTAGGCAATGTCTAATAAAGATCGGTGACCATATCACAGAGTGTCTGAAGGAGTATGCGAATCCTGAACAGATTAAGCAGTGGAGAAAGTAAGTGATATGCTTTTCACAAGGGTTCAGATGTATTCACTGGACAACTGCCTTGTCATCATCTGTGCTTCAGTGTTTTCACCCCCAATTTTCTTAAGTTTGGATAGCAGAACAGAAGTAACTGAGGATAATGGTTTTCATCATTTTTCTTCGTTCATGTATGCATCATGATAAACTTCAGGTGCCATCTCTGTGATAAAGCTAGAAAAATAAGGACAGTGCAGCAAACGATCCTTCAAATTAAAGTTTATTTAAAGAATAATATTCTTTTCTGTATTATTTTAGTAATAAGGGGTTTGATTTTTATCTACTAAGATTTCTGTAGTGCATTCCACTTTTTTAGAATCTTACTGTAGTGTAGATTTGAGGTTGTGAAGAGGGCAGAATATATTTTACTTGTTTTGTAGATCAGAAGTAAGCAATGTCTTTGAACAATTACATGTATGTCATGGTTTTAGGTTGTTACTAGGAAACGAGGAAAGAAACTTTTTTTTTATTTTTAATTTTATTGAATCACCATGAGATAGTTAGAAGCTTTCATGTTTGGGTTACAATCACACAACAATCCCAATCACAACCCATCCCTCCACCAGTGCACATTCCCCACCGCCAATATCCCCGGTACACGCCCCCCCCCCCCCCCCCCCCCCCCCCCGCTTTGCCACCCTCCCCCTGCCTCCATGGCAGACAATATTCCCCATACTCTCTCTCTATTTGAGGACATTATGGTTTGCAACACAGACCCTGAGAGGTTCTCATGTTTGGTCCTTTATCGACTTTCTGCGCACATCTCCCATCCCAACAGATTCCTCCAGCCATCTTTTTCTTAGTGATCCCATCTCTATTCCAGCTGCCTTCTCCCCTTTGCTCCTGAGGCAGGCATCCAGCTATGGAGCAATCTATCTGTCCCGTGTATCTACTGTCCTTAGGTGTCAGCCTCATGGTACGTTGTTTTATACTCCACAAATGACTGCAGTCCTTCGATGTCTGTCCCCCTCGTTCTGACTCATTTCACTTAGCATGATACGAAGAGAGAAACCTTTAAAAGAAGAAACACCAGTGTTCAGGAGGCTTATTTCTTAGGTTTATCTATACCTACCAAGGCTTGATTATCTCTTTGTTTTTTCTTCCCTTTGTTTCATTTTTTTGGAGGGGTGGGGAGCACACCTGGTAGTGCTGAGGGATGACTTCTGGTGGTGCTTAGGAGACCATACTGAGTGCCGGAATACCAGGTAGTTGAGTGCAGAGCAAACACCCACCCTTCCATCCTTCCGTCTGCTCTCCCTCCCCATGACATACACAGTTGATGATTGGGTTTCAGTCATACAATGTTCTTGCATCCGTCCCTTCACCTGTTTACATTTCCCACCACCAGTTTCCCTCCCATCAGTCCCTCTGCATCCCCCAAAAACTTTTTGTTTTTATTTATTTTTCTTAAAAACACTGTGATTTGCAAAGATCTTATTACACAGTTGCTTCAGCATTTAGTGTTTCAATACCAACACTGTGACCTTCCCTCCACCAATGTGCCCATATCCCCTCCCATCCCCAACCTGCCTCCTTAGGCACATGGCAAATGTACTTAACGAAACTTTAAAAGATAAAAAATAAAATGAAAAAATACATCAAAGCCAATTTGTGATTGCTATATAATTGCCATGCTGGGACCACTCGCCACACACTTGGATGAACCTCACGCATAAGAAGAACTGGCAGAGGAACCCAGGTGTGTGGGACCCGGGGCGGAGATCTCCAAGCCTGCACGGTTTGGGACTGGACCTGCCAGTAGCTAGACAGTTACACCCACCAACTGCCGTGTAACTCCAACAATGGCCAGGATCCAGAGATTATCACACTCAGCTCCCGGAAGCGCGCGGCTGCGAACATCTTATCATCTCATTCCTACTTTGGACAAACTGGCAGGCTACCAAATGTAACCTGCCCACACGGCAGAGTCTGGCAAACTCCCCGTGGTATACCCAATATGCCAAATACCACTAACAATGATGGGTCTCATTCTCCTAACCCTGAAAGAGCCTTTAGTATGGCACTTTAAAAAAAAAATCTCAGGTCTAGGACGAAGAAGACGTTACTGGCACCTGCACGAGGCAATCGACGAACAACAGGGTGGTCGTGATCGTGATATAATTTCAACCTATGTAAATATGGGAAATAAAACCCTTTCATGCAGTATAATAAAATGCTTATTTATATTTACATATAAATTCTCAGCTTTAGAATCTAAAGTATATTGCATTAATTTCATTTTATATTTAGATTTTATTGTAGTAATTGTCATGCCTTACCTATCCTTAATAAAAGTTTTAAAGAAGTTCTATGCTAATATATTTTGGAGTTTACATGAAATAGTCCACTTACATAAAATTTCCCCCTATACTTTATATAAACACTGTGATTTGCAAAATAGTTCATGATGATTTGTTACATTCAATATTCCAGTACCAATCTCACCACCAATACACCTTCCCTACTCCATTGTCTCCAATTTTCCCAACCATTTCTCAAGCCTGTTCCCATTGCAGGCCCACAGTAATTTATGTAAAACTATGTAGTTTGTTATCAATATAGGTTAGTGGAGCTTGGTTGCTTTCTGTGTTACATCACATCCAGTCCGGTGCACTGCTGCTACTGGATAAACAGTGTTGTAGAGTTTGGAGAAGAGCGAGGCTGCACACTCCAGGAAGTTCAGAATTTCTAACTGACTGGTACAACTGGAGTTAAATTTTGACTGGGCAGCAGTTTTGGGGTGTGGATGTGACTTCCAGGGGTTCTGGAAGTACAGGGAACTGGGTTGAAAAGCGCATCCAAACTCCGAGAAAGCCTGGAGATTTCAGCCACCAAGACCTGCGTCCCTCAAATTTTAGCAGGTTAATTTCTGCGATGGGCTGAGTCCTGAGACGATTGAGTCCATCCATGGCCTGGCGGTGGTTTTGCAGTGTGGGAAGAACAAGCAGCTGCCGGGGCTCTGTTTGGGCAAGCCAGTCCAGCGCCTACCCCACTTCTGGTGCCCCAGATGTCACAGGGCATCCGTTGCTCTCTTTTGAGATTTATTTCTGAGTCTGGAGCAGGGTATAGATGAGCTCACACGGTGGTGCTGGAGGTGGTTCGTGGGCATGACTGCCAGGCCTTGTGGAAGTCTAGGGAGGTGGGGAAAGGTAGCCCACCCCAACCTCGAGAAAGCCTGGTTGTTTTCTGTCACAAAGACCCACATATCTAAATTTCTGGCAGGCGAATTTCCTGGTGATCTTGGCCCTGAGATGGAGTCAGGTCAGAGGCATGGTGGCGATGATTTTAGAGTGTGGGTGCAAGCGGTTGCCAGGGCTCCGTTTGGGCACTGTGCTGACCTGCCCCCTGCTCCTGTATACCATATTTCTTTAAAGGGTCCTCTCGGGGTGGAGGAGAAGACTAAGAGTCTCAGTTGAGAAATATTTCAGAAAGTAACTTCACTTTTACTTTGGTCTAAGTGCTACCTTGGAAAAAAATTAGGGTAAATTGTTTTTAAAACCTGTCGTTAAACTGCGGATCTCATTACCCCTATCACAGGAGCACAATACCTGTGTTTTTAAAAAATGAAAGAAGTTAATGGCTTAAAATGTTTATATTAAAAATACAGTTTTTATTTAAAACTTGGGATGCTGGGGAGAATGCCAAAAGCACAGGAGTTAAGGCTCATGCCTCAAACTCAGCCCATCCCCTGAGGTTCATCGCCTCTAGCTGGGTCTGGGCAGCATCTTGTACTGTATTGAACCATTGAGCCCCGACTGAGGAGTAGACTATGGACTAGACATGATGGCTACTTAGTACCCGTATTGCAAATCATAACACCCCAAAAGAGAGAGAGAGAGTAAGAGGGAATGTGCCTGCCACAGAGACAGAGGGATTCTGGGAACATCGACGGTGGAGAATGGGCACTGGTGGAGGGATGGGTACTCAATCATTGTATGACTGAAATGTAATCACAAAAGTTTCTAAGTCTGTAACTATCTCGTGGCGATTCGTTAAAAAAAAAAAAAAGAAGAAGACAAGATTGAAGTAAAACAAAGAAAAGTGGCTTACAAGGTCCTCTACTAAGCACTTGCTTGGGAGACCCCCCAAATAAAAAATTGCCACTTTCTATAAAGACATGACCATAGTAATGGAATGTGTATTTGTGTTTGTCTTAGCAGATGGCTCATACTAATCCAAGTTATAAAATAAGTAATTTTCTATTGTCATACAGCAAATTTTACCAACTTTCATTTATAGGATTATTTTTCATGACTTGGCATTAGCTGTTTCTTTAATTTTGTTTGTAATTGTTTACATGGGCTAGTTATAGTCTAGAAATTTTGTTTCCACTTAACCCTTTGTTAACATTCACCACAGTGAAAAGACCTATTGGACTTTCTATGGAGATAAAATAGAAACCACTTGTTTCTTTGGTTCTACAGTATACAGTTCGGCAAAACTTGCCAAGAGTTACCTTTAACATTTTGCATTTCTTTGTATCTACATTTATAAAATACAAATCATACAAATATTAACTACTAATATGCATTCTTAAGTAATTGAGGGGGGAAATATAATCATACTTGGATTTTTCTTTGAAATACATCAAACAAATTTGACCCCAAAAAAGTGCATGGAGAAATGGTATGTGATAAAACTGTCACTGTTACACTGTCACTGTCCCCCCGTTGTTCGTCGATTTGCTCGAACGGGCCCAGTAACGTCTTCATTGTGAGACTTTGTTGTTACTGTGTTTGGCATATTGAATACATCACATACTCTGGGTTGCTTGTCGGGCTCTCCGAGGTGATAAAACTGGCACAGTAAAATGTTAATAAATCTGTCTATATAAGTGATAATTGAATTTTTTTATCTTTGAATTGCATTTGAAATTTTTTGTGATGTTAGTACACAGTTAACAAAATAATATTCCATTAGTTTAAAATTGCCTATTCTAGTCTTTACCATGGTACGCATTTATAATACACTGCAGCTTATTTAAGTAGCTCAATTTTTGTCAGGGGAAGGGGGCACTTGAGGTTTGGGCTTTTTGGTTTTGGGTCACACCTTGGGAGTAGTCTTAGCCCTGTGCTCAGGCATTACTGCTGGGGGCGCTTGAGGGTATCAGGGATCAAACCTATGTAGGCCGGGTGCAAGACATTTAAATAAATACCCTCCCCACTGTACTACCACTCTGGCCCCCTAAGTAGCTCAGTTTTAAAGACCAAATGGCACTGTACCCTTGCTCTTTGAACTGCTATGCATTTTTACAATTTAGTTTTTGTAGAATTACAGGACAAAATGTTGATAAAAGCTAGGTACCATAATATTCCATGTTAATTTGGTTTTTCTTTTTCAGAAACCTGTGGATTTTTGTTTCTAAGTTTACTGAATTCGATGCAAGAAAACTCCATAAGTTATATAAGCATGCTATTAAAAAACGGCAAGAATCTCAGGTAAATGAATAACAGCATGTTGTTGCTCTTAATTTGTCCCGCTGAAACTTTGTCATTCTTCTTTAAAGAATCTAGTTAATCAGTGAAGGGATTATAAAATCATTGTTAGAGTACCACAGTCAGACTCTTTGCAGGTTATATAAGATCTCTTCAAAGAAGCTAACGTGGAAACAGAGAAAGAAACCAAATATGAGTGCTATCTAAAAAAAGTATCTCTGCCAACATATTTATTAGTTGCAGAGAGAAAATAATTTCTTAGAGGAGAAACCTGCTTGACACCACACCTTAGTCATCCACTTTTGATATCAAGTAGTTCCGATAAAATGCCCTTAGAAAGCTTCACCACGTCTCTGAAATTCTTGGCAGAGCTTAGCATCAGGCTGATTAAGAGGAGGTACTAGGCAAGCCCTAGTTGAAATAGGTTCTGTCAAAATAGCTGTAGAGTACTCTTTTTCTTTAAAAAAGTAGGTTGGGGAGAGGGTCTTCTAGATTGGAGAAAGCTTACAAAACATGAAAACTCTTAAGTGTGTTACAAAGTTACAAATTGGATCCTAGAACAGAACAAAGCTTTAGTGGGAAAATACAAAATCTGAATCAAGTCTGTATTTGAGACAGTAATATTGGGCTGATGTAAATGACTTAATTTTTATTATTATAGTATGGTGGTTTAAGATATTAACATTAGAAAAATCTGAATAAAGGATGTAGCACTTGTAGCATTGTTCTCCTGTTGTTCATCGATTGCTCGAGTGGGCCCAGTAGCGTCTCCATCGTGAGACTTCTTGTTACTGTTTTTGGCATATCGAATACGTCGTGGGTAGCTTGCCAGGCTTTGCCATGCGGGCAGGATATTCTCGGTAGTTTGCCAGGCTCTCCCAGAGGGGCGGAGGAATCGAACCTGGGTCGGCTGACTGCAAGACAAATGCCCTACCCACTGTGCTATCGCTCCAGCCCAGATAAAGAATGTAAGAAAACTATTTTTCAAACTTTTTTATAAGACCAAATTTAAAGTCATATTTAAAGAAAAGCTAATTGTTTTAAGCGTAATACTTTATGCTTAAAGATACTAGGATTCTCTCTCTCTCTCTCTCTCTCTCTCTCTCTCTCTCTCTCTCTCTCCAAGAACATGTTTAAGTACTGCTTTTAGCATTAGGTGTTTTTTAAGGATTTTTCTTGTTTTGTAAGGATATTTAGAGTCACTTAAAATACACTCACAGATGTGTGTTTATTTTAGCAAAATAATGACCAGAACAGCAATTTGAATGCTCACGGGATTAGGAACCCAGGTAAGTCTTTTTTGTTGTTGTTACTGTTTGTTTGTTTTGTTTTGGGGGGAGGGCAGTAGTCAGGGATCACTGCTGACTCCCTGCTGAGTGGGCTCAGGGGACTGCACGTGATGCTAAGGACCAAACCCGGGTTGGCCACATGCAAGGCATGAGCACTGCCCAGTGTATCTCTTTGCCCCCCCGGTAGGTAAGTCTTGTTTTATAAAGTGAATTTTATGTTTTCCTTTTGGAGATCTGTTTTAGAAAAAGACATTATGAACGAGTTTTAAAAAACATTTTTAAAAGGTGCCCTTAATTTGTGATCCTAATAGATACCTACAATTATGTTTACCTGATTTTTTTTTGTTTTGTTTCATTTTGTTTCCTTTTAAGTCATTAACAAAAGTTGGACTCTTTTGCCTAACAGATGTGGAAAGATTAAAAGACAACACCAATCACGATGACAGCAGCAGGGACAGCTACTCTTCTGACAGACACTTATCCCAGTATCATGACCATCATAAAGACCGACACCAAGGAGATTCTTACAAGAAGAATGACTCTAGGAAAAGACCTTATTCTTCTTTTAGTAACGGGAAAGATCACCGCGATTGGGACCATTACAAGCAAGATAGCAGGTCAGCTTTCAAATCTTGCTTTTTAAGTCCTTTCATTTGCTGTATTTGACTTAGATAACTTATTTATCTAGTCTATAACTTGCCAAAATGTGTCTTTGTTAGACTAAGGTTATTTGTTAAAATAAGAAAAAGCAATATATGATAATTTTTTTAATACTTAGAACTTTTTTTATAAAGTGCTTTTTAATTCGTAAGTTTAATACCAACATGTGCAATAAGAGATGAAAGTTAGTGAAGGCAGCCCTAGAATTCTGATGCATGTTATATAGTAATGAGTTTTAGAGAATATTGACTCAATACTCTTCAGGAACAGTAATAAACTAAAGGTCTGTTTTTATTTATATGTATTTTTGTTGGTTGGTGGGTGGATACCTAGACGTACTTAGAGCTTACTCCTGACTCTGCTCAGGAGTTAGTCCTGGTTGGGCACTGGGAATACCTGGACTTCCTGGCTTAGAATGCAAGCCAACTTGCGCAACGCTATACTGTAGTCTACCAGCTATACTATTAGTATGGCCCTAAGGAACCTCGAGCTTTGAGGCTGAAGAGAGAGTCTACTGGGTAAGCACTTGCCTTGCACAGGGCTGACTGGATTTGATTCCCAGAAACCCATGTAGGACCACCCACCCAACTGCCCAAAAAAAGTCCTAAGTTTTAACATATTCTAAATAGTCATCTTAATTCCTACTCCAGATAAGTATTTCTTTTCCCTTTGGGGGAAGGGGGGAGTTGCAAGGTGTGTGAGCCCAGGATGTTTAGGGCCTCACCTGCAATGCTTCTGCTGCTTGGACTGCTGGTCCGTCCTAGGGTGAAGATGAGGTGCTACTTGAGCCCTGTAGTGTCGGGAGTTCCTCAGATCACCCTTGCGGTGCTCAGAGGGACGTGCATGCTCCTCACTGGTTCTGGAGCGCTTGTTAGCTCCCTACCCCCACCCCCCAGGCTCCTAGAAATTGAGGTACATGATACAAATAATGCATAGAATGAAAAGCAGCTAAACTACAAAGGTAAAGGTAAAGGCCCTCCCGTTGATCGTCGATTTGCTCAAGCGGGCCCAGTAACGTCTCCACTGGAGACTTTGTTGTTACTGTGTCTGGCATATCGAATACTCTCGGTAGCTTGCCGGGCTCTCCGAGAGGGGCGGAGGAATCGAACTCGGGTCGGCCATGTTGGCTGCTTGTAAGGCGAACGCCCTACCGCTGTGCTATCGCTCCAGCCCATAAAATTGATGGTATCTGGGGTGTTCTATGTGGTTTGCATTATTTGTGATTCAAAGCCAGGGAGAAATGTTTCCAGAGGTTTTTAAAATCCATTTTTATTATCTTTGTGTTATATTTCCAGTAAGATTAGCCTTTTATTTGGATATGTTTTGTTTTTTTTCATTAATTGAAAATCATCATTCCTTTTTTCTTAGATATTACGGTGATAGAGAGAAACACAGAAAACTGGATGACCACAGAAGTCGAGATCACAGGTCCAGTTTGGAAGGAAGTTTGAAAGATAGATCTCACTCGGATCATCGCTGTCACTCGGATCATCGGTTACATTCGGATCATCGATCAGGTTCTGAGTACACGCACCATAAGTCCTCCAGGGATTATAGGTATCACTCAGATTGGCAAATGGACCACAGAGCTTCCAGTAGTGGCCCGAGATCACCGCTAGATCAGAGATCTCCTTATGGCTCCAGATCCCCGTTTGAACATTCAGTCGAACACAAAAGTACACCTGAGCATGCGTGGAGTAGTCGGAAAACATAACAAAGACTGATACGCTGTCTCTTTGGACTTTTCCTTTAGCCATAGATCATAAACCAACACAGTAATTGCCTTACATGACTTGAAAGCTAGAAACAGATCTATCAGTAGCAGTATTGTTACTTCTTTCCAGGATGCAAGGTCTATTCTCCCAACAGAAGAGAAAATATTTTTATATTTAAGGATTATGCTGCACTGTACTACAGATGTTGTGGTACTTTTTTTTTTCTTTTTTAAAGAAATGAAAATGTTTACTATTACAGGGACCTCAACACTGCCCTTGCGTGTCGGCTGGACGAAACTTTTTAAGTCAGATTTTAGACTGACCTTCGTTTAAATTATGTTTGTATCTGAACTTTGCTCTGACCTGTGATCATGTTTCAGGAAGGAATGAAAGAGAGTTCTTTTCTTATTGGAGAAAAAACACTCAAGGACTTTGTTCACTTTCCAAAGCGACTTGTTTACATTGCATACTGTTGCATACTGCGACCACCTTTGCCGCTTTTCATCACAAGCTTGAATATTTAAATTCTGTACTTATAACTGTAAGATAGCCAGGAATTTCCTGTTTGTGATCTATTATTATGCCTTTTTACACACACAAAAAATATGGCTGTAAATTATTGTAAATGGATTAAATAAGCTTTCCTTACTTCTTCCCTTTTCTCAGGCTTTTTTTGACTGTTTCTTTCCTACCAACTCAGGCCTTCTTATTATTAAAAAATAATAAGTGTAATAACACTTTTTAACGATTTGTCTTGATGGAATCAATGTTTAGAATGTAAAAAATGGGGAAAGGGGCCACTTCTTTCCATTAGTCCCTCTTTTTATATTGACTATTTTATTAGATACATGTTGTTTCTCCCGTTTTTCTTTTTTAGTCAATATTGTATATGTAGTAAGAAAATGAGATTATATGTAAAATCTAAACTGCATGCTCTGGAAACTTCTTTCAGAAGCATTTGGTTTAAGGGGTAGGTGTGTGAACACTTTCAGAATCCAAAAAAAGGCCAAAAGTTACGTCAATCTCTTTGTTTTCCCTCTTCATACGGGCAATAATGTCAAATGTGCTATGCAGCCAGGTAACATTTTAGAGAAACTTGATTGACTTTTAATATAAACTGTTACAATGCACACTGATTGTATATAAAAACCTTATATATGACAAATTAAATTTAAGAAAAAAGGATATGTGGGCTCCTGTAATTTTCTGCTGCATTCTTAGTTCCTTAAGCACTTACTGTTTTTTCTTTGTTTTTTTCTTTTTTTTTCTTTTTAAGTATTAGCATTTAGCTACCAGACATTTTGGTTAGCAGTTGAATTATTATTAATCTGTAAAGCTCTGCAATTAAATATATTTTGAGGATTATATGAATCTATAAAGTAAAATTTAGATTTAAAAATTTGGTTAGACTCTGGATTCCTGCAGATGATTATTTTAAATTGTCATATATTTATTCACAGATTTTTATTTTGTTATATTCAATAGGATTATTTGAATTGGGCCACATATATTCTTGAATGTGTGCTTTGATATAACAAATTTTGAACCTTACTTTGACAAATATAAGTACATTGATATATTCCTGTAATAGTCTTAGCTGTCTCCCAGTTGATTAGCTGTGAGAGCAAGCTACAGAAATTTGTTTAAAGGTTGTTTATAAATCCAACTGAGTCTAAAATTTATACTATCTGTATAAAACAAAGCGTTTTAATTAAAGCAGTGATTCTTCATTCAAATTACTTCCAAAGGATGATAATCCAGTTTTCCCGATCCATCACATAGAATGAAAAATAACTCAATTTTTTAAATTAAGATAATTAGTATATTACACATTTTATAGTTTTCATTTTCTCCACATTTAGTAGAAATCCCTTTCATATGATGGCATTTAATGAAAAATTTTAAAGAGGTCATATGCCAATACAATAAGTACATCAGGGTTGACATTTTCAGTTCAGGACTTTGTAACTGGGATATTTGCATTATATTCTCTTGTACAAATTTTATAGGACAGTATTACATTTAAAAAAGGGGCCGGGGATTGGGGTGGGGAATGATCTCTTTCACAGTGGTACATTTAATTGAATATTTCGGCTAACCAACTGAATGAAAATTCTGTGTGACATTTATTGATGGAAAGTAGATCCCATCAATATTTGTAGGAGATCAGCAATTATGTAGAAAAGGAACAAGCCATATACTTATTGAAACACAAGGGAGAAAACATTCGTACTTAAACAGGGAACATTTTCTTTATAAAATTTGTTTGATTTTTGTCTTTTACATGTTCATTCTGCTTTGCTACTTTAATCCATTTTGTTTAATTTTTCCAAGGATGAGAGATTATGCATAGTACTGTACCAACTAACTCTCCACTTCAAATAATATACAATAAATGATTCTTACTAAAAGCAATGGCCTGTTTGCTTCTAAAGAAAATATTCTTTGTTTATGATACCTACATTATTTTCAAACTGAAAAGCTTTGGGGAACAAGTGTGTGAGTGGGTATGTTCAGATTTGAGAGCAGTTTGACAGTGAGGATCTTCACGGATGTGTAAAACAGGTTACAAGTGACTGGTTTGGGTTTTTGATGTCTTGTTTCTGTAGTTAAGTAATGGGCACCTTGTATAGATCATGTGGTAATGAATTTATGCTTATTGTATTTCCTTGAAATTTTTAAGGTTATGCACAAGGAATAAACAGCATAATTTTTATTTACAGCACATTACTGGATTTTTGACCGCAAAGTGATATTTGGGCCATAAGGAATAACGTTTTTTTAAAGATTTTATTATTGAATCACTGTGAGATAGATCTTTACAAAGTTGTTCACAATTTGGTTTCAGTCATACAGTGTCCCAACACTCATCCTTCCACCAGTGTACGTTTCCCAGCACCTCTGCCCCTGACAGGCATTTTTCTTCTCTCTCTCTCTCTCTTTCTCTCTCTCTCTCTCTCTCTCTCTCTCTCTCTCTCTCTCTCTCCCCCTCCCCCCCTCTTTCTCCCTTTCCTCCCTCTTTCTCCCTCCCTTCATTCTCTCCCCCCCACCCCCCTCATGGTTTTAAGTACAGATACTGAAAGGTTATCTGGTATATCCCTTTACCTACTTTTAACACTCAGTACTTGTCCATCATAATCATTTCTATCCTGGTCTCTTCTCTATTTTACCTACCGTCCGTCACATACACACTTGTGGCTGATTCCAACTATTGATCAGTCCTCCTACGCCCTGTTTTCCCTGGCCGTGGATATGTCTTCTACTGTATGTACATATTTTCACAAATGAATGCAGTTGTTCTATACCTATCCTTTTCTTTCTGACTCTTTTCACTCAGACTAATATTCCATTGTGTAGATATGCCATAGTTTCTTTATCCATTCATTTGTTTGTGGGCACTCAGGTTGTTTCCGGATTCTTGCTCTTGCAAATAGTGCTGCAATGAACATAGGGTTGCAGATGGTGTTTCCATTGTGTGTTTTGGGGTATAGTCTCAGAAGTGGTACTGCTGAGTCTAGTGGGAGCTCAATTTCTAATTTTTTTAAGGAACGTCCATATTTTCCAAAAAGAGTGGACCAGTCGGCACTCCCACAGTGAAGGAAAATCCCTTTCACCCCACATCCACGCCAGCACTGGTTTAAATAATAACTTATAGCTAATTAGTTTATTTACAAAGAAAGACTTGGAAACTGAACTTTGGATTTTTTTTAAGAGTTTATTTTACTATGATTGAGGAAATATGACTACAGTAGTGTTCGCATTTGTGCTCTTGACATCAAAAATCGCTGCACCTTTTCCAAAGTGGTGCCCAAACTGTCCACCACAGTACTCAGGTCACTTCTAGTCTGCCCGATCTCCCTCCATTCACCACCCTCTCTGTGTTCTATAACCTCAGCCCTGGTCATTCCAAAACCATGTTTTCATGTCACACTGTCTTCACGTTCGTTTGTGTGCTGCATCTGAGTGAGGTGGTCTGGCGCTTGTCCTTAAATCTGGTTTAGTTTGCTCAATGTCATACTCATAGTTTCATTCAAGTAGTAACAAAAGGCAAGACTTGGTCTTACCGCTGACTGATAACGCATGTATACCACACGATATCTCTATCCACTCCCATTAGATACTTGAATTGCTTCTAAAACTTGGCTGTTGGGAATAGGTGTATCTGTATCTGTTCGAGACCATCATTTTGTGTTCTTGAGATAGGTGCCAAGAAACTAAACAGCCGGATCATAGGGTGGTTCTTGTTTTTTTTCTTTTTTTGAGAAGTCTCCGTACTGATTTCCATAGAGGCTGAAGCAGATGGCATCCCCATAGCAAAGAAGGTTCCTTTCTATCACTACAGCACTGGTGGTTTCTGGACTTTTTATGATTTATTTTGAGTAGTGGCCACACCCACCGATGCTCAGGGATTACTCCTGGCCATGCTCAGGGTATAAGCAAGCACCTCGCCCGCTGTCCTGCTGTCTCTAGCCCTTATTTCTGGGCTTTGGCTAGACTCTTCATTGGTATGGGGTAAGCCACCTTGTTTTGGTTTTCATTTTCTTTCTCATACGACTGTTACCTCTTTGAGGAACTATTAGTTCAGCTCCTCCCCATAAAAAAAATGTGGTTGTTTCTTGAATTGTTGGGGTTTTTTGTTTGGGAACCACACACAGCAGTGCTCAAGATTCCTTTCTCTGCTCAGGAGTCACTCCTGGCACAGTCCTCAGGGGACCCTATGGTGGGGAATTAAACTCAGTTTGGCTGCATGCTACCATATACTTTCATTGATCCTGTTGTTGAGTTTTATGAATATTTTATATTTTTGGACATTAGCCTGAGTCTAAGTGTATGATGTGCAAATATTTTTTTTCCCTTTCAGGAGGTTGTTTTTGTTTTTTTGTTTTGTTTTGTTTTTTTGTTTGTTTTTCTTAAGCATCTTCTTAACAGTGCCAAAACTTGGTTTGATATAGGCTCAATTTTTTTTTTAATTTTTGCTTTTGTTTTCTTTGCCAATGGAGTGGCATCATTAAAGACCCCTGAAGTCAAGGAAAGTTTTGTGCTTTTTTTCAATGTGTTTTATGGATTCAGGTCTATTGTTAAAACCATTAGTCCGTTTTGGGGGGTGCTGGCTACAACCGGCGGTGCTCAGGGCTGGCTTCTGTCTCTGCTCAGGGACCATTTCGGGAGGGGCTCTAAAAACCATACATCATGCTGGCGGTTGAACCCAGGTCAGTCACATGCAAGGCAAGCACTCTACCCACCTCCTATCTTCTCAGCTCCCATGAATCAATTTTGATGAACTTACATATGATTGTTAGCTAGGGATTCAGATTAATTTTTTTCATGTGTCTAAAGCAGTTTTCCCATCACCATTTGTTGGAGTTTTTCTTCCTTCCCTCACTGCACTGCATGTCCATATCATAAATTAGCTGTCCCAAATGTGGAAGTTGACTTCTGAGCTCGATTCCAAAGCGTGGGTGTGGAAGTCTGCTTTATTCCATGAACACAGTGGTTGGGCTGGAGCAATAGCACAGCGGGTAGGGCGTTTGCCTTGCACGCGGCTGACCCAGGTTCGATTCCTCTGTCCCTCTCGGAGAACCTGGCAAGCTACCAAGAGTATCCTGCCCGCACGGCAGAACCTGGCAAGCTCCCTGTGGCGTATTCAATATGCCAAACACAGTAACAAGTCTCACAATGGAGACGTTACTGGTGCCCGCTCAAGCAAATTGATGAACAACGGGAGGACAGTGCTGACTACCGTGGTCATCATACTGTGATGTAATATATATTATTATATATAATATATACATTATAATGTTATACTGTATGGGTTGGAGCGATAGCACAGCGGTAGAGTGTGTGCCTTGCACACAGTTCTCCTGGCCGAGCTGGGTTCGATTCCTCCGCCCCTCTCGGAGAGCCCGGCAAGCTACCAAGAGTATCTTGCCCGCACGGCAAAGCCTGGCAAGCTCCCCATGACATATTCAATATGCCAAACACAGTAACAAGTCTCACAATGGAGTTGGTACTGGGCCTGCTAGAGCAAATAGATGAACAACGGGAGGACTGTGACCGTGACCATGACTGTGACATTATACAATGAGTTCAGGGAATGCAGTGCTTCCCATATTTTTTCCTCAGAATTTTCCTTTTCATTCTTTTTTTTGGGGGGAGGGTTATGATTGCAGGTAAATTTCAGCAGTATTTGTTCTGTGCTCTTGAAGGATGCTATGGGAATTTTGGTAGATTGCACTGGATCCTTTAACTGCTTTGGGTGTGATAATCTTTTTTATTCTTTGATTTTTTTAACTTCCTAATATATTTTTGACATTTTAACTCATTTTTATACTGATGTAAAATATAGAAGTAATAAGTTTAAAAATTACAAAAACATTACTGGGAAAACGATATCTTGTACATAAAAAACTTTTATATCAAACCCATTTCTATATAAATCAAGACAATTTTTAGCCACTGGAAATATCTAGATACTTCCCAAGTCTATGATAAGGACAGTACCTTAACTTAATTCTCATGTTTCATGGACTTGGAAAAATATACCATTTCCTGTTTTCTTTATAGCATTTTACAGTTTTGGAAATACACATTACCATTTTGTTGATTTCTAGATACTTCAATTTCTAACACAATTGTAAATGGGATTTTTTAAAAAAGCCTAGCATGTTGCTTGCATATAGAAAGGCACCCCGTTACGATGTGTTGATTTGGTAGCCTGTTTATTGAAGTTTTGGGAAGGGTTTTCTATGTATCATGTCATCTGCAAATAGAGTTTATGTTCTTGTCCAGTTTGGATCCTGTTCATTCCTTTTGCCTAACTGCTGTGACCAGGATTTCCTCAGTACAAACTTCCTTAAGACTCTCACCATCACCCAATAGTTAAATGTGAAACTTACATGCCACTTAATCTTTAAAATTTTGAGTAGTAATTTGATTCCCAACATACGGTCCCCTGAGCACCGCCAAGAATGATTCCTGAATGCAGAGCCAGGAGTCAGCCCTGAGCATCGCTCGGTATGACCCCAAAAGCCACTGTCCTCCTGTTGTTCATCGATTTGCTGGGAATTGAACCCGGGTTGAGTGCGTGCAAGGCAACTGCTTCACCCGCTGAGTTATCACTCCAGCCCCTAGTTAATGACTTTTTAAAAATTTTTTTATTAGTGAATCACCATGGGGTACAGTTACAAACTTACGAACTTTTGTGTTTGCATTACAATCATGCAATGACCCACCCCTCCACTAGTGCCCATTCTCTCCCACCAATGTTCCCAGAATCCCTCCCACCACCCCACCCAGCCTAACTTGATATAGTCACACAAATATTAGCAGCCATGGAAATGTTTATTGTAAAGTTACATAAAAAGTATTCTACAAACTAAAAATTATGTTTTATTCTAGAACTAAATTATTTGGTATTTTAAAATTATAGCTATACTTAG